CGATGAGGCCGAGAGAAAATGAAGAGGAAGTTGAGAAAAAACGAAATCTTATGGCTAAGCTTCGTGTTGGGGATGTTGTGAAATGCTGCATCAAGAAGATTACCTATTTCGGTATATTCTGTGAGGTAATAACTATCTGAAACCTTCGCTTTATTGACTCGCAAGGACAACATCTAGATTGTTGTGTAAAACTAAAAAGTAGTTTGGTTGAAACAGCTAGAAGGTGTCCCTGCATTGGTTCACCAATCAGAAGTTTGATGGGATGCAACTTTAGACCCTGCTTCATATTTTAAGATTGGTCAGGTAATAGCTTGAACTATCGTAACCGCTGCCAAGGAATAAAAACTGTTTGACAAACGTTTCTTTTTGGTGTTATCAGATTGTGGAAGCGAAAGTGCACCAGCTGGATTTTGCTCTTGAACGTATCTTCTTGTCGCTAAAAGAAATCACGGTGAGAAAGATCTCTCAAAAGTTTATCTTGTAGAAATCGGTAACTCATTTGATATACATCTAAACCCGTTTGATGTCTTTATGCAGCCTGATCCACTAACCGAAGCCTTAGAATCTGTAGTTGGTGGTGATAATGATCAGTTCGGGGCACGGTTACAAGCAGCAGAGCTCGACGCTGAGGTATTAAAGACCTTCTATGACTTTTGTGATCACACCATTGTTACGGGGTTCTGAAAACTTTCTTCTACAGTGGCCTGATGTGGAATCTCTGATCAAAGAGCTGGAAATGGTTGAAGGAATCCAATCAGTTTCAAAAAGTCGATTCTTCTTGAGCCCGGGCCTTGCTCCAACGTTTCAGGTACACAGTTTAATCGCCCAAATGCATATATTAAACACGAAAACATCTAACACACCAAACCGCTGAGACTTTGACACTGTTTTGATCGGAATCTGAGATCTCTGGTTTTGTTTTCTTTCTCTCTTTGTAGGTTTACATGGCTCCAATGTTTGAGAACCAATACAAATTGCTTGCTCGAGCTGGACATAGAGTACAAGAGGTAAAAGAAAAAAAGGAAAAAGATGTGATTCTTAATGTCTATTTATGAATCTTGGTTGATTCAGTTTTTTTTTGGACTGTTTATTTGCAGCTTATTGTTCAAGCTTATGTCTTTATCTAAACCATATGACTATATGAGACCACAGATTAGATGGGTAAAAGCTTATGTTTTTTTTATCCTCTAAAGTTATTATAACTCTATCCTTCTTAGTATGAAGAATTGCCAAAATCCAAGCCCTACTTTATGTCAAAGTAACAATGGTGAGAGAAACAACATAATTTAAATTACCTCCACCACTGCTGGAATTTGAACAAACTCAGTACTATATATACTTGTCTATAAAGTTTAGAAAACAAACACTAGAAAAACAAATGTTGCACCCAATAATTTGACACATATACAAAATCAACAGGAAAAAAATACCTGCCGACACACCCTAGTTACTCTAAAAAAAAAAACTGTGTGTTCCCATTACGGTTTCCGAAGTCGGCTTAGTATTCAAAGTGCATAAGAGGGTAGCCGGGCCGGGCCGGGCCAAATAAATACAGAGTTACGAAGGGCCCAAATTGAGAGTTGCGAGTATCAAATAAGAATAGGGTTTGTGAGTGACATTTAGCTAGGGTTAGAATGATGATGAATTTCCGCCGCATCGCAGCAGGTTCTCTTCATCTCTTGCAGAAGTCCGCAACGCGTCCCGCTCTGTTTCCCAAACCCTCGGATTCTGGCGTCATCGCTCGTCTTCGATGGACGACAAGGGCTCTTTCTACAACGGAATCTGCTGAGACGGCGGCGGCGGCATCGGTCTTTTCTAGCAAAGACAACCTCATGAGCCGGGTGAATAGGCTTCACAAGGAAGGCAAAGATGAACTCGCCCTACATGTAATTTATTCTTCATCATTTAAGTAAGGTTTGTTCTTCCTTCTTTTGGATTAATGGGTTAATTCGTTTTGTAGCTCTTTGACTCTATGGATGCGAACAAGGTTGAATTTACTCCCTCCGAGTTTGCATTTCATATTGAGATCCTTGCTAAGGTCAAAGGCTTAGCAGCTGCTAAAGCCTACTTCAAAAAAGCAGACCCAGACTTCAACGATGGAGACATTCATGCCAAGAACTGGCCTGCTTACGCCACGCTCCTTCGGCTCACATCTGAAGAATTGGACCAACTGGTTAGTGTTCTAGTTTATTGAATGTTCTGTCTAAGTTTTGTAGTTTTTAAATTTGTGTATTTCAATCTCTTTTTTAGGCGAACCATCTCCATCCACTTAGAAATTCCTATTCAAGAATGGCTGAATTGGTTTCACCTTCAGTGGTGTCGATAATAACGAGAAATTACTCTGAAGAAAAAGGAGCTCGAAACATGTTCGGATCGGGATTTTTCATCGACAATACAACTATTTTAACATGTTCACACATAGTTGTAAACTCTCAACGACTTACCGATGAATCTTACTTAAATTCGAGACAAGAGGTAAAATTCTGAGTTGTATTACATTACTATGTAATTATACATGCTAATTGTACCATTTTTCTTGTCACAGCTAAAAGTAGTTTTGCATGATGGAACCGAACTAGATGGAACACTAGTTCGGTATGATTCAGTACAAGATGTGGCGATGGTGCGAGTAGATACTAGCGGGTTGCCGGACGGATCCTATTCCCCGGTGAAACTCGGTTTTCCAAACCGAGTTCGCCAAGGGGATTGGATTGGCTGTTTTGGAGCACCGCTTCAGCTCCCTAACACCATCACGTTTGGAGTAGTCTCGTAAGTATTTTGTTAACTACTGAATAATTTACTCTGTAATTATCTGGATTTTGAATTATTGTTTGTCAGTGCAATTCGCACCGCTGAGGAGTTGGATATGGGTGACAGGAAAGGACAATTCTTTCAGATGGATTGCACTACTTACGAGGTATTGTTATTTAAATAATTTTATTGATTTGTATTATTATTCGTTATTGGTTTTGACTAAGTATCACCTATATATAATCTCCCACAGGGTTCTTGTGGAGGTCCCATTGTGAGTTTAGATGGATCGGTCATCGGGATGACCTGTCTTTCCTTTGGAGATCCAAATGGTCCTACTCAGGATTCCGTTGAACAGGAGCACGGTATGGCAGTTTCGATCGACAGTGTTCTCTGTGTACTTGAGCTTGTTTGATTATATTACCTTTTGGTGTGTGTTTTGTCTACTACTCGAACACAGAATTATTTGTTACTAGTTTATCTTCGGAGTGAGAAATAGTTATTAGTTTCTGAAACTTCCTAGATTTAATCCAACGCGTTATATTATTTCTGAGATTGACAATTGGAAACTGACTGTTAACCCCTCTCTCATCTGCGACTTTATCTACTATATCAACAATTTTTGTAGACTCTTGATGTCATTTCGTTAGCTCTTTCTCCAATTTGAGGTGTATTTTGCTTCAGACAAGAACTGATTCGGTGAATCTTCATGTGTTTTGGATTCTTAGTTCTACTTGCTTCTTTTGATATGACGAGAGTGCCAGTTTTTTGGTTTTATCGAACTTGGGAACTCAAAGAACAAGAGCTGAACAAAGAAGTATAAAATGTAATACTTATTGTATAAAAAGGACTAAAATTTGATGTTCCTTGTTTTTTTCATTTTTCAATAGTATAAATGTATAATCAAATATAAATTTTCCACAGTTCAGCCCTCGAAAGAACTAAAATTTGGGAAGAATATCAAACATGTCAGTTTACAAATAATACATAAAAGTTCCAAAGAAGATACACAAGAAACCTACTTGACTAATACACGCACTGGATGAAAGCACTCTCAGACAAGGAGGTAAAACATTGACAGACGATGAAACATGACAGTACATAAGACAGAGAGTTATGGCATATGTCTTTGATTAGACATATAATGTTGACTGTAAATGACGAGATTCGCAGAGACGAGCATTCTCAGAAGCAGCATTCCTCCAACACACAGCAACAGCAGAGAGCAGCAAGACTGCAATTTGCAACCCGCAAAAGATTCGGTTAATCATAACATAATTTAGGCTACTTGAGGCCAATCAATCTAAAATATAAAAGAGTTTAGTAGAGTGAGCATAAGAAAAGCTGCAGCACCTGTATAGACACTAGGATTTCAAAATTCTACTTGTAAAAATACAGCCATTAGGCAGTTAGTTCTAAAGAGAGCACTAGATTTATTGAAGAGTGAAAGAATCATGTCCAAGATACAATTACTGAGTGTCTCAAGTTAAACACTAAAAGCATCTTTATATGAATAGCTCAAAACTCATCATAGTCATAGGGATGTTGCCATGAGTTTTTTTACCCAGCCCAACCCATATTTAATGGGTACCCGAATTGTAACTACCCAATGGGTATTGAGTTCTATTGGGTATACCCAAAAAATACCCGCTAGATTTCAGGTAACCCATGGGTACCCGAGTTCTTTTAATTATGTTTTTTTTTTTTTTCAATTCTTTGGAAAAATTTTGGAGGGAAATTTTTTTTGCGGAAAAGTTTTTAACGGAAAAAAGTTTTGGCGGGAAACTTTTTTGCGAATTACGGGATCACTTTTCCCACCAAAAGTTTCCCGCCAAAAATGAAAATCCGCAAATTTCCCGCCAAAAAATGTTAATCCGCAAATTTCCCGCCAAAAATAAAAATTTGCAAATTTCCCACCAAAAACAAAAAAATTCACAAATTTCCCGCAAAAAAAAACGAAAACCCGCAAATTTCCCGCCAAAAAAAACGGAAATCCGTAAATTTCCCACCAAAAACGCGGAATTTCCAAAGATGAGTGAAGTGAAGGAAGGTCCTTTTGAAGGGCATCAATGGGCAGAGCCATCTGTGGATAAGCTTAGGGTTCTAATGAGGCATGTAATGAGTAATCCTTATGAGGCTAAGGTTAAAGGCAACCGTGGAAGAGACGACATGGTTCAGAAGTTTACACCTGAGGTCGTTACTGAGTTTGTTGCGAATCAAATTGAGATAATCTTTGATGAGCAAAGAAGAACATGACAGGATCTCACACTTTGCTTAGATCACGAGAGGGAACAATAATTGTATTTTTTTCATGAATTGTTCTAAAAAAGGCAAATATGAAACGAACAGCTTATTCTCGAGTTTCTTATGGAAAACTTAAACAGTGAGTTTAGTGTTCTAAATCTTTCTTTTATTGGAGATGAGAAGCGAAAGCCGACATAACTTCCTTGTACACTGGCTTCTTGAAATCCACTGCCTGTGAAACCGAAATAGAAGAAGATGAGTAGAGAAGTAGTATTAGAATCAAACTGCAAATTCGGTATAGAGAAAGAAGAAAAAAGTACGAACATGTTCAATGACTTGATCAGGAGAAGTCCAGGACCATTGACCAAACTCAGGTTTCTCAGTTCCATCACCAAGAAGATTGATTTCTTCATCTTTGCCAGTAAATTTCAGAAGAAACCTGAGGAAACAAAAGCTCGTAACGAAAAATACTCAAAAATCTATAAAACCCAAGTATTTTAACCCGAATCTAGCCCAAAGTAGATAAAAAACCCAAAAATATCTTAACATCCGAATAATTTAGGTACTATATATACTTGTCTATAAAGTTTAGAAAACAAACACTAGAAAAACAAATGTTGCACCCAATAATTTGACACATATACAAAATCAACAGGAAAAAAATACCTTTGACACACCACCCTAGTTACTCTAAAAAAAGAAACTGTGTGTTCCCATTACGGTTTCCGCTGTCCCGAGTCGGCTTAGTATTCAAAGTGCATAAGAGGGTAGCCGGGCCGGGCCGGGCCAAATACGAAGGGCCATACGAAGGGCCCAAATTGAGAGTTGCGAGTATCAAATAAGAATAGGGTTTGTGTTGCGACATTTAGCTAGGGTTAGAATGATGATGAATTTCCGCCGCATCGCAGCAGGTTCTCTTCATCTCTTGCAGAAGTCCGCAACGCGTCCCGCTCTGTTTCCCAAACCCTCGGATTCTGGCGTCATCGCTCGTCTTCGATGGACGACAAGGGCTCTTTCTACAACGGAATCTGCTGAGACGGCGGCGGCGGCATCGGTCTTTTCTAGCAAAGACAACCTCATGAGCCGGGTGAATAGGCTTCACAAGGAAGGCAAAGATGAACTCGCCCTACATGTAATTTATTCTTCATCATTTAAGTAAGGTTTGTTCTTCCTTCTTTTGGATTAATGGGTTAATTCGTTTTGTAGCTCTTTGACTCTATGGATGCGAACAAGGTTGAATTTACTCCCTCCGAGTTTGCACTTTATATTGAGATCCTTGCTAAGGTCAAAGGCTTAGGATGTGCTTTTAAGTACTTCAAAAAAGTAGACCCATACTTCAACAATCAAGACCATCATGCCAGGAATTGGCCTACCTACGCCACGCTCGTGCGTCTGCAATGGGAACACCTCAGAAAAGCTGGGCTAAGGCCACTCACCCTTTCTTGTGATGACAAGTCTTCTGGGAGCAAACTCCATGCGAATATGAAGCGCATGGATATCTCTGCGCCCCCCGCCCCGAAACTGACCCACAGCACAGCGCCCATTCGCTTTGGGGGCGGGAAGGCTATTTCCGTTCGTGGTACTTACCGACTAAGTTCTAGCGGTTTGCGTCTTAAAAATGAATAAAGACGACTAAGTTCTAGCGGTTTGTGTCTTAATAATGAATAAAGCAGGTTCTTTCATTTAAAGCTTTTCAATTACGGCTTTACCTTTTAAAGCTTTTCAATTATTGTATCTTAGTTGTGATTTCATGACGTTTGCTTGCCTATAAGCTATGATGAATAGCGTTTGTTGTATGTTGGAAGAATCTGGTTTAATAAATAGTTATGTTTATTTTATCAGAAAATTTGTTTTTGTCCCTAGGGGTGCTCAGTGAAGTCTAAATGGACAAATTTTTATGTTTTAATGGGTGTGACTGAGTTTTACTTGGGTGCTTCCTCCCTCTTATAACACTTTGAAGCTGAGAAGCAACGCAAGAGTTACAGAATCAACAAATTTGTGTTTAGGCTTCATGTAGGGGTGAAGCAAAGACTCTTGATCAATGTGTTTAGTATAATCTTTTGACTTCTGCTAGAATCTTGGAAAAAAGGTCAACGTATTGATATCTAAGTTTTGTTAGATTGTGTAATCAATAATTAATGTGGTGTTTGCTGAGTGCTACAAGTTTGGCAATACTGATGAAAACTTACAATCTTGCTGTTACTTAAGAGTCTTCCAGCTAAAAGTCTTGTATCTGCTAAATGTTTAGATTTGACATATGTTCTTGAGTCTTTAGACTGTGAATCAGTGGGATCACCATTGAACCATCAGATAGGATTCTAAGAGACATTGACAAGTGAATGCCTGAATGGATAGGAATTCTTTGATTACTACTTATAAGGCCTAACACATGTAACAGTACAACATCTTTGCAAAGACCATCAATGATGATGCTGTATTTGACTGCATCTAGCTTGATCTTTCTTTCTTCCATCTTTCTAAGCAACTCCATGGCCAGAGCAGTTTTACCGGACTTACACATTACATTTAAAACCGGTCCATAGGTAACTGCATCGGGTTGACAACCACTTTCCACCATTCGATCAATGAAAACCACTGCTTCATAGACTTTACCTTTGAGACAAAGGCCATTGACCAGAGTGTTAATCATTATGAGATCGGGTCTATGTTTCATTTCCACCATTCGATCAACTAACTCTAGAGCTTCAGGAACTCGACCCTCGAGACAGAATCCGTTGATCAAAGTTGAAAATGTAATTGTGTTAGGCTCATACCCAAGTTTCAAGATCTTTCCCATAACGGAACAAGCGAACTGAAGTTTACGACAGCGACAGAAACAATTGATCATAATACTCAGAGTGTAGATGTTATGAGCAATCCCATTCAATTCCATTTGCTTGCAGAGATCTAAAACGAGACCATATTGCTTTGTTTTGGCAACAGCACTAAAGAATTTACTGAAATCAACAAGACTAGGAAGAGGAAGAGACCCGATCATGTCTTGAAACAGATCAGTAGCATCATCTTTCTTAATATCAACAATCCCACTTCTCAATCTCTCTCTATAAGAGACTTTCCCTTTCCCATCGCTGACACTAGAAAAGACTCGTCCATAGCAAGACAATATTAAAGCAGTTCTTGGAGAACCTGTCTCGAGAAGACGTGTCTGAATCAATCCCCGCATGACCCAAGTTAAGAATTTGAAAGCTCTGAATTTTAATAAAAATTGGAGTCGGGTCTTCGGTTTTGTGCTGATTCGTTTGTTCGGCTTCAACATGCACTAATTTCTGCTCATAACACCGATTTCACACACAATAAAACAAAAAAAAGATTTTAAGCTTTAATAACTTCTGATTCTGAATTTTCAACAACGATGTTATGTATACCTTGAAAACTCTTAAACGAAGCTCTTCTTCTCTCTGCTCTGCTATGAAAGTTGATAACTTGGAACCTTGAAAATCTAGCGAGTTATCGAAATTGTCTGCCCAAATGGTCAACAAGATGGCACTAAATCTACAGAAAATGAAACCCAGACACATACGAAGAACGAAGCAATGTGAAAACCTGAAATCTTCAGAATTCAGATACGAGAATGCTTGAAGAACCGGTTCAATGTACCGGATCAGATAAAACCGGTTGTCTTTAACCTTCTGTTTCATTCGGAGTTTTTGACAAAATGTTCGGACAAGTGTTCCACCAAGGACTAAAAGTGATATTAACTACTTTTTTTCTTATTGTAATTAAGTACCGATCTAAATGTTATGAACCATCTAGTTTGTATCAGCACGATGAATATTCATGTCACAAGCAAATCGGTTGATAAAATAAAACTCTTTCTCCATCGGTACATCCTATGTTTCTTTGATGGGCCGGACCTAAGTTTTAATTAAAATATCTAATTTATTTTCCCCTTAGTGAGAAAACTAAATGTCATGTACAGTATCTTATCTTTAGTTGGGGGCTTTTCGGACCTTTTTTTGTTATGGGTTTTTTAGTTGGTTTTTTTTTTAATAAATTGAGATGAGAAAAAAAAAGAAAGAAATCACCAAAAAAAATCCCCAACTCAAAAGTCTTCTGATAAAAAAAACACCGATCGGAGTTTGGAGATATCGCCGTGGACATGGCGGTGCGTAAGAGGCTGTCATCGTGCGCATCTCCGCTAACACAAGAGAACCAGTCCGCTCTCGCATCAGTACTCTGCTCTGCCTTTGGACCACCTACATCGCAGAAGAACCCCGCGAATCTATCTAAATATCCTTTCCTTAAGCTAGCCAAAATTCTGATGTAAACACCAAAATTCTAAGAAAGCATATCCAAAAAGCTTTTCTTCAATCTACCATCCGATAACATATCGATTACCATCTTTATAGTGGAAGCATCAACTGAGAACCCCAACCTCTTCATTTCTTCAATAAGCTTAGCAGATTTAATTGCATCACCATCTCCAAGATGTGCCCTGCTGAGTATGTTGTATGTACAACCATCTGGCGAATGCCCGTCCTCTTCCATTTTTCTAAACAACAGTTCCGCTTCAAACAGTGAGCCTTTCTTACACAGTCCCCCAATCATTATAGTGTATGTTTTGACATCGGGCTTCACTCCTTTGAGAGGGATGCTACAGAATAATTCCCAAGCATCATCCACCTTACTAGCATTGCACATCCCATGAATGATGATGTTATATATACCAATATCCAGCTCCATCTTACTCTTCTGTATTTTTTCAAATATTTCCAATGCTTTTTCTGGTTCCCCATTGTCACACAACCCATCCAGCAAAATTTTGTAAGTGACAATATTAGGAGGAACACCACGAGAAACCATCTCTTGGAAGAGTTCTTTGGCAACATTAAGTTTTCCCGACTGACAAAACCCTTGGACAAGTGTGCTATAAGTAACTGTATTAGCAACCACTCCTCTTAGAGACATTTTGCGGAAGAGTTCCAAACCATCGTCAACCCGCTTTGCCTTGCAATATCCATTTATGAGAATACTGTAAGTCACGATATTAGGATCACACCCTTTGCTAACCATCAGATCCAGCATCTGGTTTGCCTCATTTAGGCGATTCTCCTTGCAAAACCCATCTATCAAAGAACTATATGTAATCGTGTCAGGAGCTATACCTCTTGTGATCATCTCCTTGTGCAGTTCTTCGGCCTCTCGAAGCTTTCCCTCTTTCACAAAACTATCAATTAAAGCATTGAAAGTGACAATGTTGGGGTTGATTCTCCTTGTGATCATATCCTTGAGCAACTGCGCACCATCATTCCATCTACCAGCATTACAAAAGCCTCCTATGAGAGAGTTGTACGGAAAAACATTTGCTTTGATCCCTTTCATTTCCATTATATTGCAAAAGGTTGAGTGCTTCGTCGAGGTTTCCATCTTTGCAAGGACTATCAATGATGACACTGTACTGCACAACACCGAGCTTGGTATTTCTTTCTTCCATCTTTCTGAGCAACTCCATGGCCAGGGCTGTTTTACCGGACTTGCACATTATATTAAAAACCGGTCCATAAGTAACTTCATCGGGTTGAAAGCCATTTTCCACCATTCGATCTATCAAAACCAATGCTTCATAGACTTTACCTTTGAGACAAAGTCCATTAACCAGAGTGTTAATCGTAATGAGATCGGGTCTATGTCCCAGATCGACCATTCGATCAACCAATTCAACAGCTTGAGAGACTCTACCTTCAAGACATAGTCCATTGAGTAAGGTGTTAAATACTTAAATGTGACGGTGGGAAGAGGACGAGACTGAATCATGTCTCGGAACAGATCAACAGCAAAATCTGCCTTAATATCGACTAGCCCACTTCTCAATCTCTCTTCATAAGACATTTTGCCATCACTAAGAACAGAGAAGGCGCAAGAGAAGAACACGTTTGGGCTACGACATAAACAAGTTCGGGAAGTACCTGTCTCAGGAAAACGAGGCTGAACCAATTTGAAAGTGAAAGCCTTCCGATTAAGAGGAATCACTCTTCGTATCATCATCAATCCCATTTCTTCTTCAGATGAAACCAGATTCTAGATAGACATAAACCATGTGTGTTTTGAGGGAGACGAAATAAATTTCGGTTCGATTATCATATTTCTAAACCGGGGTTCATTTACATGCGGTACATTCCGGTTTTTAAAGAATGATGTCGGTCATGTGATTTATTTACTTATTTGTTTGTTCTAAACTAAAACGGTGCCGTTTGAGCCAACTTCGAAGTCTTCAACATTCGACGATGGTTCAACCATATCTTGATAGTACTTCAGTCATGTGGGAGCAGATCCAAAACCCTATAGTTTAAATTCCACATTCAGTTTTCATCATTGGATGATGATCATGAAACCTTCTAAATAAGGTGGAGTTTTTGACAAGATGGATTTCACATGTGTGTGTATAATTATGTCTCCAAATGCAAAGTAAAATACAACAGGGAACCCAATGGACGTTTTTAATAGACAACCTGAGACAAGTCCTAAAGTTAAATACGACATGTTCAACTACATCACAAGAAAAACTTATAGCTTTAGAGCAGCTCTTTCATTTGACGACTACTCTCCCAATATGCTCAAGAACCGATAGCCACCCAGGGATTGTTCATAGCTAAACTACTCTTCTGTTGTGGCTTTCACTGATAGAGAGACTTCTGTGGTGAGCTTGCTTTTATGGCCCCAAAATTTCCAACAATTGACATGCTTATATTATAGACTAGACTAACAACTCACATACTTGGACCTTCTCAAGACAGCATATCCAGAAAGCTTTCCTCCAATCTACCATCTGATAACATATCGATAACCATCTTCATAGTGGAAGCATCAGCAGAGAACCCACCCTTCTTCATTTCTTCAATAAGTTCAGCTGAAGTGATTACGTCACTGATTCGGAGATGTGCTCGGATTAGAGTGTTGTATGTACTATTATCTGGCACAAACCCTTCCTCTTCCATTTTTCTACACAACATATTTGCCTCAGACAGTGAGCCTTTCCAACATAATCCTGAAATCATTATGTTATATGCCTTGACATCATGCTTCACTCCTTTGAGAGGGATGCTACAGAATAACTCCCAAGCATCATCCACCTTACTAGCATTGCACATCCCATGAATGATGATGTTATATATACCAATATCAAGCTCCATCTCACTCTTCTGTATTTTTTCAAATATTTCCAACGCCTTTTCTGGTTCCCCATTGTCACACAACCCATCCAGCAAAATTTTGTAAGTGACAATATCAGGACGAACACCACAAGAAACCATCTCTTGGAAGAGTTCTTTGGCAATATTAAGTTTTCCCGACTGACAAAACCCTTGGACAAGTGTGTTGTAAGCAATTGTATTGGCAACCACTCCTCTCAAAGACATTTTGCGGAAGAGTTCCAAACCATCGTCAACCCGCTTAGCCTTGCAATATCCATTTATGAGAATACTGTAAGTCACGATATTAGGATCACACCCTTTGCTAACCATCAGATCCAGCATCTGGTTTGCCTCATCTAGGCGATTCTCCTTGCAAAACCCATCTATCAAAGAACTATATGTAATGGTATCAGGAGATAAACCTCGTTGAATCATCTCCTTGTGCAGTTCTTCAGCCTCTCGAAGCTTTCCCTCTTTCACAAAACAATCAATCAAAACACTGAAAGTGACAACGTCAGGGGTGATTCTCCTTGTGATCATATCCCTCAGCAACTTGGCACCATCATTCCATCTACCGGCATTACAAAAACCTCCTATGAGAGTGGTGTAGGTAAAAACATCAGCTTTGATCCCTTTCATTTCCATTTCATTAAAAAGGTTGAGTGCATCGTCGAGGTTTCCATCTTTGCAAAGACCATCAATGATGATACTATATTTGACTGCATCGAGCTTGATCTTTCTTTCTTCCATCTTTCTGAGCAACTCCATGGCCAAGGCAGTTTTCCCGGATTTGCACATTACATTTAAAACCGGTCCATAGGTAACTGCATCGGGTTGACAACCACTTTCCACCATTCGATCAATGAAAACCACTGCTTCATAGACTTTACCTTTGAGACAAAGGCCATTGACCAGAGTGTTAATCATTATGAGATCGGGTCTAAGTTTCATTTCCACCATTCGATCAACTAACTCCAGAGCTTCAGGAACTCGACCCTTGAGACAGAATCCGTTGATCAAAGTTGAAAATGTGATAGTGCTAGGCTCATACCCAAGTTTCAAGATCTTCCCCATAACGGAAAAAGCGAAGTGAAGTTTACGACAGCGACAGAAACAATTGATCATAATATTCAGAGTGTAGATGTTATGAGCAATCCCATTCAATTCCATTTGCTTGCAGAAATCTAAAACGAGATCATATTGCTTTGTTCTGGCAACGGCACTAAACAATCTACTGAAATCAACAAGACTAGGAAGAGGACGAGACCTAATCAATTCTTGAAACAGATCGATAGCGTCATCTTTCTTAATATCAACAATCCCACTTCTCAATCTCTCTCTATAAGAGACTTTCCCTTTACCATCACTGACACTAGAAAAGACTCGTCCATAGCAAGACAAGATTAAAGCAGTTCTCGGAGTACCTGTCTCGAGAAGACGTGTCTGAACCAATCTCCGCATGACCCAAGTTAAGAATTTGAAAGCTCTGAATAAAAACTGAATTTGATTTTGTGCTGATTCGCTTGTTCGTCTTTCAAAGGCACCAAACTTTCTCACATAGCAAAAAGGTTGAAGCTTTAACGACTTCAAAACTCTTTAAGAGAAGGCTCGTCTTCAATCTCTCCAACGAAAGTGAAAACTGGAAAACTTTCCAAATCCAATGAGTGTGTTTCAGCTTTTATTCCATGGAGAGTCGAACAAATTATAGAACGAATATTTATACAAATGGCTACAAAAAATCGTACACATAAATGGCGGAACCTAAAAAAAAAATTGGTCAAATGATGATGATGGAAAGTGGGTTGATGCAGTTGGGCCTAATTCCACATGGGCCTGTGTTGTGAATCTCGAGAGATTCTGTTTGCTTCAGAGTTTGCCCTACCTGCCAAAATAAACCGAACCGAATGTATCGAACCGAAACTAAAGTAAAAAAAACCGAACCGAACTGAACCAAAAATTTTGAAAATAACCGAAAAAATACTAAATTTTATAACCGAAATAACCGTAACCGAATCGGTACCGAACCGAGATATTTCGGGTAACCGAAATACAATTATATTTTCAAAATAATTAGTTATTTATAGACCAAATAAACAAAAATACTTGAAAAATATATAAAAATAGTAAAAATACTCGAAAATAACCGAAATATATCCAAAAATATCCGAAAATATTCAAAAATAACCGAAATATCCGAAAATATTCTAAGCAAAATAACCGAATATATACTAAATTTTTAAACCGAAAGAACCGGAACCGAACCGAAACCAAACCGAAATTTCAAAATATCCGAATGGATACTAAAATTTGAAACCGAAAGAACCGAAACCGAATGAACCCAACCGATAACCGAACGGTTAACCGAAAGCTCAGGCCTAGTTTGCCATGTGGTTTATAATAATAAGTACGACTATATGTTTGATATGCTTCTAGAACCGGTTTAATGTGCCGGTTCCGATTAAACCGGTTTTCTTTTATCCTTTTGTTTGTTGACAAAATGTTTTTTTTTTTTTTTTTTGTCAACAGCTATATTAGATTGGCTTAAACAAACCATTGTCGAGGAAAGTTGTTTACATAAGTTTTTTTTCTTCTTCTTGTTCTCCTTTTTCGGTATCAAATATCCTTGTTTATTAAATTATTGATAATTAATCCTTGGTTATAATATGTGTTATACAATGAAACTAGAAAAAATGGGAAAGATCTAATTTTTAAAAAAATAAGTTTAATCCATTAAAATTAAAATACCATTTTATTTAGAGTTTAGAGTTAAGGATTTTTATGTAGAAGTTAGAGTTTATGATTTTAGTTTAAAATTTAGAGAAATTGTTAAAAATGCCCCTTTTTCAATACCCCTTTTCAAAAATGCCCCCTTTAGAGTCTATTTTTAAGTTTGCCCTCTTTTAATTTTTAATGACCATTTTACCCTTATTTGAAACAAAATTAGGTCCACAAAATACAAAATATTTTTTGGCGGGAAAAGTGATCCCGCAATTTTCCCGCCAAAACACTTGTAAAAACCTTTAAAATACCTTGTAAAATTTTCCCGTAAAAATTTTTCCCGCCAAAAAATTTTTTTTGCGGGAAAAGTGATTCCGCAATTTTTTTGGCGAAATTTTTTTGGCGGGAAAAATTTACAAGGTATTTTAAAGGTTTTACGGAGTATTTACAAGTGTTTTGTAAGGTTTTACAATGTATTTTAAAAGGTTTTACAAGGTACTTATAAGGTTTTATAAGGAATTTATAACTTGTAAAACCTTATAAAAAACTTGTAAAACCTTATAACTTGTAAAACCTTATAAAAAACTTGTAAAACCTTATAACTTGTAAAACCTTATAAAATAGCTTGTAAAATCTTATAATATCTTATAAATACGTTGTAAAACTTTTTAAAATACATTGTAAAACCTTATAAATACCCTGTAAAAAAACTTTAAAATACCTTGTAAATTTTTCCCGCCAAAAATTTAACGCCAAAAAAATTGCGGAATCACTTTTCCCGCAAAAAAAAATTTTTGGCGGAAAATTTTTTGGCGGGAAAAAATTTTACGGGAAAATTTTACAAGGTATTTTAAAGGTTTTACAAGTTTTTACAAGTGTTTTGGCGGGAAAAATTACGGGATCACTTTTTCCGCCAAAAAATATTTTGTATTTTGTGGACCTAATTTTGTTATATTTCTTTATATATTTGTGATATCTTTTATTAAAAGAAGGGTAATTTAGTCATTTTGTACATAAAAGGGGTATTTTTAAAAATGGACAGCCAAATGGAGCATTTTTGAAAAAGGGTATTGAAAAAGGGGCATTTTTGTGAGTCTTCCTAAAATTTATAGGTTTTAAGATTTAGTGTTTAGTTTAAGTTTTCTATTTTTTTTTTTTTTTTTTTTTGTGGATAGTAATAGTATTGAGACGCCATTTTTGTGAAATGTGGTTGGAAAAAGATCACATTGATCAAGGAATTGCACCAACTTTACTAATTATACACAGTTCGTCTAAAATTTTGACAAGAAGTTTTGATTCAAAAAGCATCATACTATCGTCCACATGCATGCAAGGTCACCTCAATCTCTAAGCCTCATAGCCTGGATTTGAATTCTTCCAAAATCCATCTATTTGATCATTTAGGTTTCTCACGAAAGTGCCACTTTAACTATTACTATGGATTTTGTGAGAAATGTCTTAACTTCTAATTTGTTTAAGGCGTGATTGATCATACGTGTCTTCAGTTCGATACCCCTAAATTTTAGGAAAAAATTCAAATTATAATCAACATCCGAACAAAGTGAACCTTCAATGTACATATTCAAGTAATTCAACAACATTTAATTTCTATACAACTACAACGCCTGTCTTGAATATTTTTAATTTAGAATATGCTTAAGCTTCATATTGATTATATATATAGCTTAAATATCAATTAGTAGCTAAACACGATATATGCTACAGTATCATATTGTCAGTATATGAACTATAGTTTTTTTTTTTCTCAATTATTATTACAAGAAAAACCCCAACAAGGGCCAACACACTTTCGACAACCCCAAGTGAGAAAGTGAAAGAGAATAACAACTGTGTGTTAAGAAAATATTAGTGAAATAACCCTTTCATGATTCATTTCATATTTGAATATTAATCTCTCACTAATCCCTAACTAATTCAATTTATATTCCGTCTTTATAGATATACAGAACATACACACATACATATATAAGTATACTGTTTACTTTTCAATTCTATATATATGTGGCTGATGGTCACCATACAAATCCTACCAAATGGCCCTGATCTTAACCCAAAACTTCTTCATCTTCTTTAATTAATTAGCCACCTCGCACGTGTGACAAATCCTTCTTCGCCACGTGTGAAAAACCCTTCCCCCGCTTGCTACTTACTATATACTACTAATAGTATGAATAATACAATGGGTTCTTCCAGCTTAGGTAGCCGGAGAAAGGATCCGGCGTACAGAGGAATCCGGTGCCGAAGTGGTAAATGGGTCTCCGAGATTCGTGAGCCTAAGAAAACCACGAGAATCTGGCTTGGAACTTACCCCACGGCAGAGATGGCAGCCGCCGCCTACGATGTGGCTGCTCTGGCTCTTAAAGGAAGAGGAGCCGTCTTGAACTTCCCTGGATCCGCCCAGTCATACCCGGTTCCTGAATCAAAATCGGCAGCGGATATACGAACCGCGGCGGCAGCTGCAGCAGCAATGAAGGGATGCGAGGAAGGGGAGGAGGAGAAAGAGGCAACGGAGAAGAATAGTAGTAGTTCGCAGTTCAGAGCGCGTGAGAACCACGTAAATAATGAGGTGGCGTCTTCGTCATGGTGTGGGACAGAGTTTATGGACGAAGAAGAAGTCTTGAATATGCCTAATCTGCTGGCTAATATGGCAGAAGGGATGATGGTTGCGCCACCGTCGTGGATGGGTTCTCGGCCGTCGGATGACTCTCCGGAGAATTCAAATGATGAGGACTTGTGGGGGTATTGATCGGTTAGTGTTGTCCACGTATATGTAATCATCATCTTGTTCTTGTTGATTATTTGTTCATTAATTATGTCACTTGTATGATATATCAAATCATATGTTTTAATGTATGATATATCAAATCATATGTTTTCTTGTTTTTAGGGTTATGATCAATTAGGGCTTAATAGTGATTTCTCTTTAGTTTCGCGACTTCACGTGTTGATTTCTAATATTACTCTTGGATTATTCCTATTTGTACCTTCTTAGTTAAGAATATATTTCATGTTCTGAAGTTTGTTTTTGTTCAATACTAAGATGAGATTATGAATAATAGCTACTCCTTGCATACATGAACTAAAAAAAGTCTTTGACGACACATATCTCTGGTGGAACATAATTAAAAACGTTTTTTTTTTTTTTAATAACGCTGCATTTTAATTTGGCAAAGTTTCATGTTTGACAACTAAAGATCCAATAATATGATGAGAAGTATGATATTTGTGGAATTCCTCTTCTTTGATGAGATTAAGCTTTTTTTTTAAATAACCCATGATCAGTTGTTTTGAGTCTTTTGACTTTCTATATATCATTCTTTATAATAAATTAAATTAAGCATCGTTTTCTCTACATACACAAGACATATCTATCTATTTTTTCGTCACATGTTCGTTGCTAAGATATATATTCGGAAATCCATCCAGCGATCTATATTCCACTCAATTCGTCTTGTAGTGATAAATATATGTTTTCATTATTTCATATGAATTAATCGATTGATTGATGCTTATTTACACAATGATATTTATATTATATTCATCTAGTGTTCCTTTTAAAAAGTTTTGATGTTCCTGAGTTTCCTTTTTTAGATATGTTTTTGTTATAAAGGTTTTGCCATATATGTATGGACATGAGTGGTGTTTTCTTACTTGGTCATTTTTTGTCGTTTTCTTTCTCAGTTTCCTTTGGTAAAAAAAGGGGTATGTATATATGTCTCATCTCTTTATTTTGTGATACTATCTTGGTAATAAACTGACATATTTTGGGGTGAAAAAAAAAGTGACATATTTTGTATTAATCTTAGTCTTTAACTATATATATTCCATCTATTTTACAATTAAATATCATTTTGATAAATTTCATACAAATTAAAAAACTCGTGAAACATTTCATTATATATTTGTAAATTAAATAAATTAAACTCTTGGTAAATTCTACTTTCTATTTTTAATTTGTTTTTACTTAAGACTATATGTTGTGTATCTATTATCTAACATCAACATTTCTATTGAAAATATATTATAAACAAACTTATTTTGAAAAATAGGAACGATGATAAAAATGATATTCTGTTTTGAAATGCATGGAGTATCATCGAATTCAAATTTACTTATAAGCTTCTAACGTATGTAGAGTAAATAATAATCTTATTGACAACACGTCAATACGAATTAGTAATATTATTTGTATTGAAATTCTAATTCAAGAATTGACAAAAGGATGGTGCAAAAGATTTTTTAACACCAATTTTTTTACCTGAAACTGACAAAGAGAGGTTAATGAGAGAGGTGACCATGTGGCTTTTCTTTAATCATATCCGTCACTAAGCTCTATAGAGCTTTAGCTTTACAACTTTTTAATATTCATTCTATCTAAAAATCATACAATATAGTAGTATTTTTATGAAATTTTTAATGGGTTTATATTCTGCAGAAATGGTAAAGGTATTGGTCAATCCAAAGAAATTTGCCTTTTCTTTTAAATCATTCAAAAAGAAAACGTCCTAATTGTAATTTTTTAAAAAATTAAGAGTTAATTACTGTATTAAATTAACTCGGCTTGTCTCTTCCGACTAAACATCAGCAATATTTTTTTCTTTTCAAAATTTCCATTTCCACAACTCTTTGCCACGTGTCACTATCTCCTCAGATTTCTTTGGCCTAAATCCCTTTTTGGTTTTGTTTATAACACCTAAAACCTAAACTGTCTTTATGGTCTTAAAAAATCTATGACCCCTAACATCAAATATATATATTTTTGATATAACCGTAAATATCATTAGAAATGAAAATTTAGGGATTACAAACATAATACCTAGGGCTTTTGAGAACCTTGCCAAAAAAGAGTAAAAAACAAGGCCACAAATGTTTAAGAAGACACAAAAGTGAAATCATCTAACATCAAATATCTGTGATCGGTATTTTAAGTATACCATACAAACTAAACCATCCATGTAAGAAAAAACAGAGATATCTTTAGTTCTTTATAAGAATACCAAAGTTTTGTTTTGACAATTAGAATAATTAAGTTTTTTTTTTTTTTTTTTTTTGGGTGTAAATGTGTAATTAGAATAACTAAGTTGTGGTTGTCTAGTAGGAAAAAGTAATTTTGGCGGTTAGACCATGCATGGATTCTGAGTTCACATGGCTCGATCATGGTAGTAATATTGGTTTAGAAGATGATATTTCAGGACGTAACGTTAACGTTCCTCCGCTCGATCGTGTTAGTGGGGTTCTACATCTATTAACCCACACTACCAAATTGTGGATTCCCTATTCGTCAGATAATTGGTTTGTTATATCGAAAAGCTCGAAAGATTGGTAGTGGCGTAGTGCAATTACTATGTTAGTTTGAAATTCGTTTGTTTTCTTTGATAACCAGCTGTTGATTTATATTGTACAATATAAAGATAGGTTTCTGGACAAATCTTTATACTTGATTTGATGCGATAGTGGTCCACTGCAGATTTGTCTCCCTACGTGTTTTTAATGATAACCCTTCCCTCTTTGGTATGTTTACTCACACTCATATAATGATTAATCATTCTTTTAATCTTAATTAAATCCCCATTAATGGCTGTTTGTTTTGATCATTAGACAATATAATACACTCTCTTTTGACAGAAATACTTTTCTTTTCTTTTTAATGCTTGTTAACTACACTTTGTTCGTTTATAGGTTTATTACAAATCAACAGCTGGTAATGTCATCATGATTCGAACTCATAGCTAGTAAAGGCTAGTGGTGTGATAGAGGAGGCAGTCAGTCAGTCACAGATAGCACAACAACCATTGTTGGAGACTTGGTGTGATAGTTGTGATTTTGTTTCTTTAAGATCTTTATATTTTTCCTATTATTTATGAAAAAACTATATAATAACAGTTTCCTTCGTCAATGGGTAAAGACTGAATCGAACCTAAGAGTGACTGGACAGCTAGCCATGTGGAGAACACTGAACTAAAGTCTCTCATGTTCGTCAATTTGTGGTTAATCAATTTATATCTTTTAACACTACTAAAACATATATTAGGAAAGTGCATTCTACAAAGTTTTTTTATCAATCATGGTCTTTTCTGCATCATATTTTGATCAGTTTTTCATTATTTCGTTTTTTAACATCTCTAGTTTCATTATTTCGTTTTTTAACATCTCTAGTTTCATTATTTCGTAAAATTAATTAGCAATTTTTTGTATATGATACAATTAATTTTAAAAGACCGAATTCACCAATTCTAAAAGAAAACATCGTGATGTATAGTAATTAGTAAATCGTATGAAATACCATAATTCATAAATAATAAGATTAAAATATTTCCTTTTTTACCTAAATAAAAGGTTAAAAATAATTATAGTATAATAATATTCACCAAAGGTTATGAAAACTATAATTAATTACAAAATTTGTGCATTCAATTATGAAAGTTTAGATCTTTACCTGAAATATTTGTTTAATAATACTCATTGACAACATGTTCAAAAAAATTTAGAAACACATTTTGCCGACATAGTAGAAATAAATAGCTACACTAGTAACATGGAGTTTGGACATACAGCCAGATTCTTTCATGCTCTAATTTTTTTTTTTTTTAGAACAAAAAAATATATAGATATAGGTTTCTCTTGAATGACAAAAAAAGCCAATGCTCTTACATTTGAACTTCTAGTTTCTTAAAAGAACTTAAGTCTATTTGCTTGGATTAGTGACTGTGTGTGTGACTGTGTATATAAAAAAAATCTTGCATAAAAATATTTTCTATAAACTGGTGATAAAATCTCTGAACTTATATATTTTTTTCCATCACTTGTATTTTAAAAATGATTTTCAACGATGTGAAATGAAAAAAAACATATGCACTTGTATAGTTATTGACAACAAAAATTGATCCGATTTCAATCTTTATAGATTTTCGAGATCAAGATAAAAACACAAAAAAATGTGTATATTATTCAGTTTTTCTTTTAACCGCCTTATGCATTTTTTTGGGTGTCTTTTTGGGAAAAAGCTGCCGTCAATTGAGAACATTTATTTTACGAACTATTGTGTTTTGTTAGTGGGGTACATATTTCCCATTTGCAATTTACAATTACATATTTATACTTATTGTATATATAATTGCAAATCCAATACCAATTAAAAAAAAACTATGAAAATAAGATTTATAAGCAACAAATACAGAAAAAAAATCGATGCTATAAATCAGAAAGAGACGAGAACCGGATCGGTTTGTTTCCAATGTTACAGAAGAAGAAGCAGCTGGCAAGCGCGGGAAACATACTTACCGTTAAGAGAAGAAGAGAACTGTTTATTCCTCTTTCCGTGGTTTTGGTCTTGAAGGTTTTGCAGGCACAACGTAACTGAGGAGAATCAATACAACAGGTATGATTGTTCCAATGTAATATACGCTTCCGTAGGCGGTAAGTGTTTCGTGCAAGCTTAACACCTGAGAGATTGCGATTATAAACAAGGTTAAGAACGGCGTTAAAGTGATTCGATCAATGTGACGGGAGAGAAAAGAGTTGGCAATCACCATGAAACCGACGGCTGAGTAGTTGAGAACCAAAACGGTGTAAAGGAAGTTGATGAAGACCAGTATATTTCTCAGCATTGCCATTTTCGGACTGATCGCTTGTTGCCACCGGTAAATAACTGCAAAGAAAAAAGATTTAGATCAACAAAAAGATTGATAGATGCCATTACCAAAAGAGTGAAACCGGGTGAATTGTATTTACCCCGTGAGCCTGCGATCATCAAAGCTGACTGAACAAAGAACATCATATATCCAGGATATAGTCCCTGCAAATTGCATTAGAGGTGGAAGAAAAATCAGATTTAGAAATACAAATGTATGTTCCATCATCATTGGAAGCAATTGAAAACACTCAAATTACAAGATATGTAGGATTTTCCGGTTTAAGAATTGGAAAGAACACGAAGAGAGTAACGTGGAAAAAAAATAGATGAAGAAGAAAGAACTCACATGCCAAACCGCACTGACGGTTTGTGTAGCTAATAACTGGAAGAAACCCGCTTTCTTTCCGTTCTGCACAAGTCTTTCATACACGTCTGCATTATAAATAACATGAATAAGTTCTCTCACATTGACTAAGTTCACAGATGAACCGAAATTTCCGCACTTTATGATTCATGCAGGTACCAGAAGACTACTTACAGTGACGCAACCACGTGCTGACTTGTATGTTCCATACAAGCGGAATCTGAACAGCGCTCTTAGCTAGTTCGACACCGAGAATGTCTACGTTCTTGGCACGGTCCCATTTGGGCTTTGGTGAAGCATCATCAGTCCAACCACTGAAACCCAAACCAGAGATGATAATAGATGCCTCTGAAATTGACCAGATGAAGTAATATTTCCAACGGGCCGTAAATCCCGCCATGTATTGGTAACTAAATTTTCTCAAGAATCCCCATTCTTGATACACGGGTTCTGTGAACCGAGTTAACGGATATTGAGGCACTAAATAGAGATACAGAGCCATGCAAATCGCAGCTTGCAAAATAGCTCGGATTGTAGCTCCATAAGGCGATGGCCGCTTTCTTTTTTCAGAAGTATCCCAAATCTAGAAAGCACAAAAGTTTACAAATTCACAGTCTAGTCTTTTAAAAATTCAGAGGGTCAAGAAGAAGAAGAAGAAGCTTACCCCTTTCCCTTCGGTCCATTCAAGATAATCTTTCATTTCATAAACAGGACCAGCAAAATGGCTACCACAACAGAGGCAGTAACCAAAGTACTCAATCAAAGACGGCATCTGAATCAATCGGTTTTTCTTCTGAGCTTCACGTAGACCTTCCTCCTTCAACATTCCATCATTGTAATTCATCGCACATGAGATAACTTTCAGCGTTAACACCATTAACGCTCCTAACACATGAACAACAAGAAGGGCCAAGTTAAGAAATTACTACTCAGACCAAATTCATCACAAACTCGTAAGAACAAGTGCATCCAAATCAAAAGGAAGCAAATTTATTCATCTTGATTCATAAAACCAAACTAACCCATTACGATAATGTAACAGAGAGTTACTCAAAGATTCACTAAACAACTTCATTGATTGAATAAGATGAGGAAAGTAAGAGTTACCAGTAGAGTCGATTCCTCCTTCTTTCCACGCATCACCACTCATATAAAACACATGACTACACAAATCACGAATTTGCACCATAACTAAATCAGGGTCAATCAACAGGAAGACGATTATGCACTACTAATTCATAGCAACAAAAAGTTTCAGACTTTTTAGTACCAGCCAATAAGATAACCGAAACCGAGGAAGAAAGTGATGATTCCACACTTGGGTCTATAAATCGCCATTGAAGCATAGCCGATCGTCATCGGAACAAGGAAGTGAAGGTTGGAGGAGAATCCAAAGGACAGATAAGAGAGGAAAGCACCTGAAGCAGCGGCATACAAGTGTTTACCGAGTCGACTCGGGACGATTCGACAAGCGAATGAAACAGGGATCGTGGCAACGAAACAGAGGAGGAATCGGAGAACGGCGACCGAAACTCCGATCGAAGCAGCCATGGAACTCATATCCATGGTGTCAAAAACCCGTTTTTTTTAAACTCGGAATGAGTCACAACAACCGAGTTGCTCCGGGAAGCTTCTTCTGATCTCGCCGAAGCTATAGATCGGTCGTGTTGTGTCGTGTTGTGTCGTGTGGTTGTTGGCTTCTTTCTTAACGAAAGGTATCAAATTTATATGTAATAAACCGGTCGGTACAGTTTTCAAAACCGATTGAAATTGAATTGAAAACCAACGGTTTAAATTAAAAGCCCTAATTTCCTTTTTCTTTCTTCTGATCTTACGATCTCTTTACTTGTCTGAGTTCTGTCGTTTCTTCGCCGTTCGTTCTCCAACAGTTTCATCGTCGTCCTCTTTAGCCATCGTTGCTCTTGATTCTACAGATTTCTCTGTTCAAGTAAGTTTAAGGTTTTGGTACTTTTACTCTGTTTTAGGATTTTGATTTATGTATGTAACTCTGTTTATGTTGGGAAATTTGCATCTTAAAGTTGTGCTCTTTATTGATTAGGTTCACGTGTCGACATGAAGGGAGCTGGTAAGTTTGAAGGGAGCTCAAGTAAGATAGTTTTTGAGGATAGTGAAGAAGATGAAGACCTTTCGTGTTCATCTGTGTCTTCTTCAGATGAGGTTAGTAGCTTTAGAATAGTTATGAAACTCGACACATTATTATTGTTTGTTGAACCATTTGTTTTTGAATGTGGAATTAGGAAGAAGAGCCAGAAAAAGAGTTAACCTTTGAGGAGATACATAAATTACGAGCTGATGGGTCTAAAGCTGTTCCATGGAAACCAAATCAAGTGAAGAAAACAGGTCGTGCTAACAAAAACAGGTACACAACATTGTTTTCTCTTGGTTTTTGTCTTTCTTTTTCTTACAGTTGTGTTTCATTTGTGATGAAAAAGACCAATGGAGTTGAGTTCTAAGAAACCTGTGAGTCGTTATAGAGAGGTAGTTCAAGTTCCAAAGAAGGTAATAAGTTTTAGCATTGAGAACATTTGAATCTCTCATTTCTTCTTCTCAAATTTTTGAGTTTGGAGTTGTTGAAAGAGTTTCTTTGTTTGCATTCAGGAGGTTCGAGATCCTCGCTTCAATCAATTGGGTGGAACACTTGACGTCGAGGGGTATATATATCTTTCTATTGTGAACATGAAATTACTGATGTAATTCACTCTTTGTTCTTGTTTCAGTGAACGTAAGTTTTGTATCTTTTGTAGGTTCAGGAAGCGATACAATTTCTTTTTTGAGGACAAACTTCCTGTTGAAAGAGAGGTATTGTTGATTAAATGCTGAAGAAAATATGGTTCCGATTTGTCATGATGCTTTTTGTTTGATTTTCTGGGGTTCCTAAAACAGGAATTGAAAAAGAAGCTAAAGAAAACAAAGAATCCAGAAGAGGTCAACGAATTGAAGAACCAGTTAACTTACGTTGTGAGTGATCCTTTCTTTACCTCTCCTGTTATCTAAAATCTGTCAAAGCTATCTGATCATTAGTTTGTTTCCTTACCTTTTAGTCTGTTATATATATTTCAGGAGAAAATGTTGAAGTATGAGCCATCAACAAAGAACAAAGGAGCAGCAATACTAACAGAACACAAAAAGAAAGAACGAGAAGCCGCAAAAGAAGGGAAAAGGCCTTACTATCTCAAAAAATGTATGTACTGAGTCTTTTACTCAAAAGTCCCAAGTTTAGGTTGAACATTACAGTTTTAAGTTTTTCTTTGCCAACACAATTACTGAATCCTTTTCTCTTTTCTTATGCAGCGGAAATCCGAAAGCAAACACTCATCGAAAAGTACAACAGTCTCAAGGTATGTTAATCAGTTTTGACTACCAAATTTTTAAATGTTTGTATGGAAACAGAATCACTGAATCAGTTCTTTTTGTACAATCCAGGAATCTGGGAAGCTTACATCGTATCTTGACAAACGGAGGAAGAAGAATGCAACAAAGGATCATAGGTTTATGCCCTATCGTCGAGCAGAGGAATAGTGAGAAGCAGTTTTGCTTTAAGAACGATCTCTTACCTTGGTCCATGACAGTTTTTGTGGCAGTCTTTGTGATGTAGTACTAAACTTTATGCTTGAGAATTGAAAGCCAAATGCAGCTAAACTTTTTTTGTTTTTCAATTGAAAGCCATATCAAATACAAAGGCTGCTTAGTTTGCTCTTGTTTCTGTGAAGACATGAGAGACTCTAGACCTTTCAGAGGGTTCAAATCTACTGTACTTTTCTTATGTTACTTAAATTGTTTTTATATATCAAGGTTATAAAAATGAATTTCAAGGTCAAACAAACAAGTTAATTATAGCTTTTTTCTTTCTAAATAATTCGGTTTAAAAAATATTTTTTGATTTCTTTCCTCCCAAATTTTACTAATATAACTACTCTTATTTATCATTTCGATAACCTTTTTAATACTGTATAGAGAGTGTTTTAACATAGACACATAAAAAAAAAAGCAGCACATTCATGTACGTAAGCAAGCAATTATGTACACACAGTCACAAACATATATGTTAACGTATATTTATTATTTAATCATCATAATTAGACAGATCTCCAATTCCTATACCAAAGGAATCTAGAAATAATTTCCTACTATGTCATTACAAAAAAAAATAGTTTCATGAAAAAAAAATTCAAACCATGTGAATGTTAATGCATATATTGATCTGAAATACCATTAAAGAGCTTTCCAAACTTCCCAACTGAAATGTATTTGGCTAGGATTGTTTTTCAAAATTTTGGTTTGATTTTTGATTTTGATACGGTCTTGTTTTAGATTGAAAAAAAAGGTATTAAAAAATAAACATAATTACTTTGAATCATATATAGTTAAATATTATATAATTTTTTGGATGAATTTCAGTTAGATATGGGGATGTGCCTTTGGTCAAGTGGTTAAGTACACTTGACTCCGCTTTCCCCTCCGGAGTTCGACTCCACTAAATCGCGTTACCCTGCTTAGTAGGGATTGGCTATGGATCGGACCTTGTCGATCCAAAGATGTAAAAAAAAGAATTTCAGTTAGATATATTACTATGTTAACATGCATGAATGTCTATGTTTACACACATGACATATCTAATACACTTAAAGTCAGATCCGTTCATGTATGTACAGTGAAGAAGTACAAATAAATATGTATGCATGTTAGGTTAATGCACAATTTTATGCCATAAACATATAATATAAACTTCTGTATATTCTGGATTTTAAATAAAAGGAATCTCTAGATTCTAAATGAATGGAATTAGATTTAATTACCAACTTATCATTGTCACAACAAAATCACAAATAATTTTTTGCTGATTATGCAAATGTTAACTATAACACAAATTTACAAATCCCATATAAATAAACCTTAGTCACACAAACAAGCAATCACGAATAACAAACACTTTCTATCAACATTTCTAATACTCTCTGCCCAAAAAAACACTCTTTGTACCTTCAAAAAAATATGGAGAACAAAAGAGTGGCCATGTTAGTGGTGATGATGTTGGTGATGGGGAACACGTCGATTGAGGCAGTGGCTCTGCCGAAAATGTCTTTTAAAGTATGTTACGGAGGTTGTCTTGTGGCGTGTGCTCTAATAGCGCCTGCGATTAAAAAACCTTTTTGTCCTTTTTTGTGTATCAAGGATTGTAAACGTCGACCTATACTATCTTTTGAGGCAAATCTTAAAGAAATTGACCAGACTGATTCTTTCTGCGAACTCGGATGTGCTACCGATCGTTGTGTTTCATCCTCCTCAATTGATGATAAGGGTAAGCTTTTTCCAAGTTCATCAATATCGTTCATATATATAAAATTTAATCCTGTGGGTTCTTTTGCTCAAAAAAAAAATTAAAAAAAAAATAATCCTGTGGGTTCTAAGGATATTATGTAAATTTCCCAAGAGTAAGAATGATGATTTTTTTTTTGGGGTATAGTTTTGCTAAGATTAAGAATGTTTGATAATTTTTAATCATTCAAATAATTTTATCGTATTTCTAGTTACTTTTCTTATATATGGTTGTTTGTTTATATATGGGCAGATCACGTGGAGAAAGTTTCAGTATGCGTGGATTCATGTTCAGAAGAGTGCTCTCACAAGAACTAAAGTCGCTATTGATTTTATTCTATGAAAATTAATGTCTAATTAAAAGATATAAACCAGTACTAGTAGAGGTTGTATCGATTAAACATTCTCCAAATGAGAATTTATTTTCTGAGTTGATATATGCTTTGTGTTACGATCAAGCCAATTGCTAAAACCATCCATCCGAAATAAAGAGACTTTCATAATAAAGAAAATGATGTTCATGATAATATTGTGCAGACTCACCAACATATTTTATTTTAAGGTATGCATCTTGAATCTAATTCGATGAATCTCATTCCTATCCGTAACAAAATTTACATTAATTTGATCATTCAAGACTAAACATGTTTGAAAGTTGGACCAAAATAATGTGTTAAAACTTTAAACACATCATGTGCATGTTTATTTGCTAAATGATTCAAAATTGAACCAACACACACATTCTTACGCTTCGAATCCGAATGTTCACAGGTGATCGATGGGGACATTATGTACGTAATCAGATCAAAACTGATAAAAAATGATAGCCAATTTTATGCTTGAGAACCGATAGCCAAATGCCGCTTAACTTTGTTTTCTTCCCGAAATAAAAACCATAATCCAGTACAAAGGCTGCTGTTGGTTCTCCTAAGACATGAGAGACTCTAGACCTTTCAGAGGGTTCAGTTCTACTTCACTAGCTTTTCTTATGTTACTTCAATTATTCACATGTTTTTAACTTTTAAGCATGAATGATAAAATATCCTGAATCCAAAATAAGATTAACTAGGTTTTGATATACGTAATAGTTAATTACTTAATAATGTTAAGAAACAAATAACTTAGTTTTTATATGTCAAGATTACACAAAAAATTATTCTAAGATCAAATCTGTTCATTATAGTTTATTCTATTTGATTTTGTACTTGATTCAATTTAGAAAAAAATATTGTTTGATTTCTTTTCTTCCAAAATTTTCTAATTAATACAACGATCTAGTATATGATGCCATATTGTTTATCATTTCAATAACCTTTATATATGAACTGTATTTTACCATTTGAATATAGAGTGCTTGAACATAGATACATATCAAAAAGAAAATAAAGCACATTCATGTACATAAGAAAATATGTTCAAACAGTCTGTACATACATAAACATATATGTTAACGTATATTTTATCATCATTATTAAACAGATCTCCAAATCCCAAACGAAAGGAATCTAGAAATAATTTCCCACTATGTCATCATCACACAAACACTATAGCCTGATTTGTGGCTGACTCTGGAAATGTTAACTAATATACAAAATTACACAATCTCTATATAAATAAACTATGTTAACACAACAAACATTCACAACTTACAAAAAAACACTTTCATCAAAAGAAAATTATATCATCTAGAGAGATATATAAAATGGAGAGCAAAAGAGTGGCAATGTTGGTGGCAGTAATGATAGTGATGGTGATAGGGAACCTCCTGGCTCAGACGACAGAGGCTCAGAAAATCCCATTTAAAGATTGTTATCCAGCTTGTCTTATAGAGTGTAAAGCTGAGTCAAATTTTCCAAAGTATCTTAAGTGTCCATTTACGTGTACCAAAACATGTCTTCAACAACCTCCTCTACCATCTGTTTCTTCAGACAATATCGATGATTCTGATTATTTCTGCAAACTCGGATGTGCAACTTATCATTGTGTTTCTCTTTCTTCCCTTCAAAACCCGAGTAAGTATTTCCTTCTTCTAGACGATTTTTACATTGTAAATCTTACCCATAATGGTGTTCACAAATCGATGATCATATATATGGTTAAATTGATATTGTGAATTTTAGTTAACGTTAAATGGTTTTGGTTGGTGTTTGTGTTATGGACAGATATGGAAAGCGTATCAGCCTGTGTCGATTCATGCTCAAACAAGTGTACCAAGGATATTCATGTGTGAAAAAAAGATATGAACATTGGGCTTTAATTTCTAATTTGGGTTAATTAATGAAATTTTATTATTTAAACAAATTGTAGTACTTTTCCTTTTTTTTTATGTAACTGTGTATCCGTTGAGCCTAAAGCCCATTCCCAATTTGGGTTGATTAATAAAACTTTATTATTAAAAAAAAGACATGGACCATTAGTTTGTATCAATTCAGTTTTTAAATAACGAATTTTTTTATTCAAAATATGTTGCTGCAAGAAATCAATTGATATAAAAGGAAAACGAAAGCTGAGTTAAGAAAAACAAAAAGGAAAACAAAAGCTAAAATGAAGGAGATATTATTTACTATTCACAATTAAGGGGGGCGGAAAATGCTTTACGTATATAATCTAATGATGCGGAGAGAGATAATATTGAACTAATCTATATTAAATATTCTAACAAAAAATAAAAAAAATTTAGAATGAAATAATGATACAATGAAGCAGTTATGTAAATTTGGCAAATAATATAATGTTATTAATAAAAACTCAATTTTATTAGAATGAATGAAATTGTATATCTTAAAAAAATAAGTATGTATTAAATTTATTTTAATTAAAACACTAAAAAAGAATGTTATCCTAGTGTTTGATTTCATAAAATAATAGTATAGAGATCTCCAGATTGTAAATGAATGGAATTAAATAATTACCCACCATGGCTTTGTAACAATAAAGTTATAGCTTAATCTGTTGTTGATTGTGAATATGTTAACTAATATAGAAATTTGCATGATCCCTATATAAACAAGCCATGTTAACACAACTAACATTCACAACTAACAAACAATAACATCTACAAATATAAAATCTTTGCATCATTCTCCTTGAAAAAAGAATGGAGGGTAAAAGCCTAGTTGCGGTTTTGGTGACAATGATGGTGATGGGAAACCTTCTTCCTCAAACAGAGGCTCAAAAGATACCATTTATGCAATGTTATCCAGCTTGTATTGTAGTGTGTAAGAGTGAGTCAACGTTTCCAAAGTTTCTTAAATGTCCTTTTACATGTCTCAGAACATGTCTTCATCCTCCGTCTCCTCCTCCTTCTCCTTCTCCGTCCCCTTCGCCTTCTCCTTCTGAGAACATTATCGACCAAACTGATCACTGAAAATCCAAGTAAGTTTTCACATTTCATATATATATATATATATATATATATATATATATATATATATATATATATATTGTAAAATTGACATTTAATCATGTGTTGTCTTTGTGGTTTTTCTTGTGTTGTGGACAGATGTGGAGAAAGTCGCAGACTGTGTTGATAATATGTTAGAACAAGTGTTTCAACAAGAACTAGCGATATTTGTCTTTTTATTAAACGTAATGTTTCAATAAATATATGAACCCATAATATGTATCGACTGGATACTCAAATTAAATAAGTATTATACATTTTTATCTGATACATTTTGCATTACAAACGAATCAATTGATGGACAGGTCAATCCAATAAAGAGCTAAATTACACGATCCCGATAAAGTAATAGTATTTCAGACATGAATAAAAGTCACATTATTTAAAAGTAACATGCTTAAGTTTATATAATGTTACAGTTTGAAATTATTATTATTATTAAACATCGTTTTCTTTATCATTTTAATCTATTTTTTTGGATGGTTATATTTTTGTGTGTCATAGTAATAGTGTGTGTCATCCATAACAAAATGTACACTAATTTGATCATTCAAAACTAAGAATGTTTGAAGTTTTAAGTTTTAACCAAAAAAAATATGTTACGTTAAAACACCGCGCATGTCACGCATCTTGATGCAAAAATAAAAATTAAAAGAGATATCCAACTGTGTGTAGTACGGCTGTCTTAGCAAGCTCTTTACACTTTCATATTCGTTTCTATCGTGTGTAAATACTCTCGATGGGGATTTTCAATTTTGTCACTTAGGTTTCGGTCCGGATGCTTTACCAAGACTATTGATTATTGAGTTAGTGAGAAGTATATGTCATAGGCAGTGGCAGAGTTAAAACTTGTATTTACGGGCATCAAAATGTATAAAATAAACATAGGGATCATTTTATTTATTGTATTGGTGTCAATTTAAAACATTTAGCCGAAAGTTAACTAAATCATTCTATAGGTGTCATGTGACCCCCTGATGCTTAACTACCTCTGCCTTGGTCATGGGACATGCATATTTAGCCTCACAATTAGTACACGCATTGGTGATACCTTGAATATACACCGTTTTTTTAAAAGTATATTCTCCGAATCGGAAATGAATGGAAAAAATAATTATCCATCAATTGTCGTATTACCAAAATAAATTACACATCGATTTGTTGTTGACTATAAAAATGTTTACTTATACAGAAGATTACACGATCCCTATATAAACGAACAAAACATTACCACAAAAATATAATCGCAATAATAAACAATTGCATCAACGTAACAATCTCTTAATTCAGAAAAATGGAGAGCAAAAGAGTCGCTATGTTGATGAATATTATGATAGTGATGGTAATAGGATGCCTTCTGGTTCAGACAGAGGCTAAGTCTAGCGATTTCAAAGTTTGTTACTCAGATTGTCATGCCGTGTGTAAATCTCATACGACGTTTCCAAAGTCTCTCTTGTGTCCCTTCACATGTCTCATGACTTGTCTTGTTCCTAATCAACCAACTCCTTCTCCTACTTCTGATACGGGTGTAACAAACAAAATTGATCATACTAAAAAGTAAAAACTTTTGCATACTCGGTTGTGCTACTCATTATTGTGTTTCTCTTTCTTCTCTACAAAATCCGAGTAAGTTTTCACATTGAGAATTTTGGTAAAAGTAAACATTTTAATCTCATATGCAGTTTCTCTTTGGCCGCTACAAACTTTTTATGATGCTTGTAGATTACTAAGATTATGTATTTTAATAGAACTTTATTTATGGTTTTATTGTTTTTGTGATATGGACAGATGTGGAGAAAGTTGCAACCTGTGTGGATTCATGCTCGGGAAAATGCTCCGGAGGGAAGAAAAAGTGATATTATTATTACTTTTCTTAAATAAAAATTGAAATTTTATTGTATTATCGGAAAGATATGAATTATTGATTTGTATGTTCTATATCTTTATACACATTAATACAGTTTTAAAATAAAAATTGACATTTTATTATCTTAACAAGTATATATGATTAGTCTTTGCTCTATACATATCTTTTAAAGAATAGCTGTTTATTCAGAAAATAAGAATAAATTGATTTTTTCCAAAGAAAACAAATGGCTTGTTTTTCTAGTTTTTTTTTCACGGCTCACAGTCACAGCTGTATACAGCACAAGCCAACAGATTCATGAGACCTCAAAAAAGAAAAAAAAGAAAAAAAGAAGGATAAAACAGATTCATGTATTTAAGTAAATATATGAGAATAATCTAATCTTCAAATTGGAAATGAATGGAATTTTTTTTTTTTTTTACCATTATCGAATTATCTCACCATAATTACACCTATTTTTATTGTTGACTGTAGAAATGTTAACTAATATAGAAAATCTAGAGTCCATATATAAACAAACAATAACAACACATATTACCACCACTCACAAGTAACACACAACTGCCTCAACTTTTATAATATTCTCTAATAGTCAAAAGAAAAAAAAGATGGAGAGCAAAAGAATGGTGATGTTTGTGACAATGATGATAGTGATGGTAATGGGAAACCTTCTGATTCAGACAGAAGCTCAAGCTCAAGCTCAACCTTCTCCTTTTAAAACTTGTTACCCAGGTTGTGTTTTGACTTGTTTCTATCAGCACAAATTTCCAAAATTTTTGTTGTGTCCATTTACGTGTCTCGGGACTTGTCTTTTTCCTCATCCTTCTCAGATGGTTTCAACAAACGAAATCAATCATACTCCATAAGCTGTGTGGATTCATTCTCGGACAAGTGGTCCACCAAGAACTAATAGTGATATTAACTACTTTTTGTTGTAATAAAGTACCGATCTAAATGATATGAACCATTTCGTTTATATATCAGTATGATGAATATTTATGTCACAAACAAATCGGTTAATAAAACTCTCTCTCCATCAAAATAGAAGAATTGTACGTATATTAATTCTAATTAAAATATCTAATTATTTTCTCCTTAATGAGAAAACAAGACGTGGAACCTGAATCCCCCAAACAACCTCAAGGTCAAGGGTACTACAACAACAAATTTTCTTTCCTCAAAAGTCAAAACATTCACTTTCTCCGACGTCTCCTCGCTTCATCATCTTGATCATCTTGATCGATCCAATTTCCACAAGAATGTGTATATGGCTGTGCATCACTCCTCGACGTTTTAACTAAGCCTGGACTCGCTTACTATGTGCCTAAGCTCATCTGCTGAACAAGTATGGAGAAGCTTCACAAGTTGTGGTCTTGTGGATCATATGATTAGCAGTGTCGGTTACACACTGACACCGGAATTGATGGATTGCAGAACATTGATTTGCGGTCTCTATGAAAAAAAAAGAGAAAAAGAGAGAGCAAATTCAGTTTTACATAAGATGCTTCAGTGTGGCAAGTATTAACGATGATGAAATAGCTTGGACAATCCTCATTGGTAGTTTGCGTAAGACTAAGAACAAGGGTCCTGCAGAGGAATTTTCTCAACTGTTCCAAGCAACGCTAATAAGTGGGTGTCACAACACAATGCACATAAATATGATTAATTTATGGGAGTTGTATGCAAAATGTCAGAAAATATTTCTATGCAGTTTCTAGCATAAAACTAGACGATTATATGTTAAACTTTTTTTTAACAAAAAATTTCCCCTTAAGTTTTCAGAGCATTGTTTATCAACTAATATTATTTATACCAGTGTTATTGTTATGCCACCAAACCAGAAATTTATGTACTATAATCAAATATGTGCGAATAACAGAATTTTTTTTATATACACATTAATGTACTGTTTCGTTAATATTAAAAAATATTATCAATAGAGCCTGACCCTGACAATTTAGAGGCTCCAAGTAGATAAGTTAGCTGTTTGTTCAGAAAATATTTGATAATATTATCAAATAAGTGCTTTGTTCTATTTTTTTAGAAAATTAGCTGTTTGTTCAGAAAATAAGAATAAATAGATTTCTTATCAAAGAAAACAATTACCTGGTTTTTCTATTTTTTCTCGGCTCACAGTTGTATTCAGCACAAGTCAACAGATTCATGACACCTCAACAAAAGAATAAAACATATCCACGTATTTCAGTAAATGTATTAAGAAAAATGGCTGTAAATCTTACCAAAAAAAAAAGAAGGAAAAATGGCTGTAAAAATTTACGTTAATGCATATTTCTATGCCATAAACAGAATAATATCATATTCAAATCGGAAAAAATGGGAAATTTTTTTTTATCTATAATTACACTTTATATCATTGTTGACCGTAGAAATGTTAACTAATATAGAAAATCTAGAGTCCGTATATAAACAGACAATAACAACACAGATTACCACCATTCACAAGTAAAACACAACTGCCTCAAATTTTATATTATCCTCTAATAGTAAAAAGAAAAAAAGATGGAGAGCAAAAGAATGGTGATGTTTGTGACAATGATGATAGTGATGGTGATGGGAAACCTTCTGATTCAGACAGAAGCTGACTCTCCACCGGTACCTCAACCTGATCCCTTTAAAACTTGTTACCCAGGTTGTGTTGTGACTTGTTTCGTTCAGAAGAAATTTCCAAGTTTTTTGGTGTGTCCATTTAAATGTATCAAGACTTGTCTTGAACCTCCTTCACAGATGGATTTAACAAACGAAATCAATCATAATGAGTATTACTGCAAACTAGGTTGTTCTACTCATCACTGTGCTTCCCTTTCCTCTATCCAAAATCCGAGTAAGTTTTTTCTTTTGTATTTATTGTAAGATTATATATGGTCTTTTTTGGTTTATTGACATTTATCAACATAAGATTATTGTATTTATGGTTTTTTTGTGTTGTTGTCTGTGGTATGATGGAGCAGATGTGGACAAAGTTGTGGACTGTGTGGATTCATGCTCGGACAAGTGCTCCAACAAGAACTAGAAGTGATATTAACTACTCTTTATTGTAATAAAGTACCGATCTGAATGATATGAACCATTTAGAATTTGTATCATTACGATGAATATTTTTGTCACAAGCAAATCGGTTAATAAAACTATTTCTCTATATCTCCATCTTAATAACTCCAGCAAGAACTAATAGCCATATTAACTAGTCTCTATTAACTACTTTTACCTTTTTCTTGTAACAAAATATTGACAACTATTATTAACACTAGGTGAAATCTTAGAAGATATATTGGATCAGTGATAAGATATTGTATTAGAGAAAGAGTCTTTGTGAAATCTTTACATTAACACTAGGTGAGTAAATTGAATGGTTTCAGTTGAAAACTCAGGAACGCACAACCTTTAAGACTTTAATATTACAAACTAATGGTTCATATCTATTAGATCGATACTCCCTCCGTTTCACAAAGAGTGTCATTTTGACACATTTCACACAAATTAAGAAAACATTGAATTATACATATGTACCCCTATTTAATAAGTGATTAATGATTTAAATTCAATGAAAAATAGCTTTAAGTTAAGGGTAAATCAGGAAATTCTGTGTAAAAGTCACATTGAAAATGTAGAATGACACTCTTTGTGAAAAAAAAATCAAACTCTAAAATGACACTCTTTGTGAAACATATGGAGTATATTTTTATTTATTACAACAAAAAGATAATAGTAGTTGATTTTGCTCTTACTTTTCTGCATAATATTTGTTTATTTTCCTACACATTGTATTGTTACTGTTGTAAGTAAACGATTTGGTATTTGCATTTGTGTAGACACGTATTTTTCCTTCCAAAATTTTATGAAGGGGCTAGAAACAACACCTTATAACTCCGATCCAAAATCGGATCAATCATTTGTTTAGCATATTCTATTTACATGATCTGTACATGGTCATAGTCAGAGATGTAGAAGAGGAAAAAGCCCAGAATCATATCAAATCCAACTATTAGAGAGCGCTATTATGACAGAAAAGTCACTAAGATCGTGGAGAAACCGTAGCTTTGTGGCGGCTTGTGGCTTGGACAATGCCCATGTGCGTGTGTGGTCTGGTTTTGTCAGAACGCTCGACAGAGTGTATTAGTCGAGGTCAAGTTAGAAGAGTGTTGCTGCTCAATGGGGTTATTGGTGGGACTACAGACTCTGCTTCTCTTTGGTTCTGAGATCCTCACGTTGGAGATTGCAACAACAAGCACATCGACCACACCGCTCTCATCTTCTTCCTCCTCTGTGTTGGAGAATGAATCAGTCGGTGAATCAGATGGTATCTTCTTTTCTCTGTTAGCTCTGTTTAGGTCAGTTTTCTCTGTGGGACTGCGATTCTGGAGGCACGGAAGAGATGCTGCTTGACTCTTGTGCTTCGACTTGATACACATGGTCTTGAGTGTCCGGTCTGTGTAAAAGAGTATCCATGGATGCCCTGAAACAAAAGTGGAATATTAAGTCAGTTTAGCCTCGCTGCTAATGGATTCCATAATCAAATCAAGGTTAAGTATTAAACATAAACGAACAAAAGATCCAGTGACACTAAACATTAAATGGATATCTAAGTCATTGCTGCAATTAAAGAAGCTGGAAGAGGTTAAAAAGGCTTACTTAGCACTTCATCCGCTGTGATTCTGGCAGATTCTTCCCTTGTTAGCATTCTCGCCAAGAGATCACGGGCAGGTTTGGACACAGACTCCCACACTCCTGAGTTGAAATCAAGCTTCACGTTTTTGATTGCTTCGAAAATAGCGTCCAATGAGTCTCCCTTAAAAGGGAGTACACCAGACAAGAGAGCATATAATAGGACACCTGCACTCCAAATGTCGACCTTCTCTGAATAATTTTCAGAAAGAACTTCAGGTGCAACATAAGCAGGACTTCCTGCCAATCCTGACAGTGTTTGACCTGTACAAACCAATGAACAAACATGTAAGTACACACTTGACAGCTCTATTAAGCTACAGAGAAAAGGTCAAACTCTTATCACAAGTACAAACTTGACAGCTCAGTTAAGCTACATAGAAAAGGTCAAACTCTTATCACAATTACAATATGCTAAACGTTAAGCTCTAGTGAAGAAGAAGGACCATAACTTGCCAGTAATAACAACTTAACGAATACTTAAATCAATCAGAATAAGTAAAGCATGTACAGCTGCTATCAACTTTAGTCATAGAAGAATAGCTTTCTTCATCTAGTTTATAGTCAACTTTAGGCAATTACAAGTTAAACTACTAGAGGAAAAGACAAACACAGGACAGTTAAAAATATCATACCGACATGACAGATTTTGGGCATCATTAGTTTTTTCACCAGTACTGTAAGACATTGATGTCATGCCAACTTATAGCTTTACAGCATCAAGCCGCTATGTTCCTTAACCAATGGAGTCATTACACTTGACAATTTCATAAAGACACTACAAGACACTGCCATGAATAGAAGCATTTTTAAATGCATACACAAATCACTACAGAAATATTAACGTCTGAATATAATTTACCTTTTGCAATTCTCATGGCGAGGCCAAAATCAGCTAGCTGTATCTTCCCAGCAGCTGTTAGGAGAATATTCTCTGGTTTTATGTCTCTGTGCACAACTCCCATCTCGTGGCAATAATTGATGACTAGCATGAGGTCCTTGAATATATTAGCTGCTCGCTGCTCAGAATACCTGCCCACCTTTACCATCTGATCAATCAAACGTCCCCCTGAACACAGCTCCATCACAAGATGGAAAGAGTCTGACTCTTCATATACAGCATGCAACGTGACTACCCGAGGATGACCAGATAAATGTTGCATTATCTCAACTTCCCGGTGAACAGTCTCCTCCCCCTTCTTCAGAGTTTTACAAGCAAACTCAGTCCCATTCTTCCTAGACTTACAGATCCTGACTGACCCAAATTTCCCTTTCCCAATATTTCGACCAAAAACATAGTCATCGCCTATCTTATTCTTCCTACCAGTCTGCGTGGAAACATCTATGCACCCTATCTTCCTCTTCAAACCTCTTCCTGATGAAACCAAAGATGATGCACCACAAGGAGGTGCAGTAGCAACACCAGCAATTCGTCTCTTAAAGGAACCAACAGACTCGACAGCTTCAGTCTCCTTACACCGCTTCTTAAGTCTAGCATAACCCTCTAGTGAAAAGTGCGACCTAAAGTTGGATGATCGTGATGCAGTTGAACATAATAAATCCTCTGGTAAATTCTCCCAACCCTCAGTTTCACTACCTTTCCGCTTCTTCCTCATCAAACCAGCCAACAGATAACGAATATCAGACTCAATTACATAAGAAAATAACGGATCTTCTCCTGCAAAATCAGAACAAACGAATCAGTCATCAAAACCAAATGCAGAAACAAAATGCTACAGAGCCAATCAAAAGGATAGTACACAAAATGTAGCGAAAAGCCAATTTCCAAAACACACAAAAGAGTAAAACCAAAAATTTACTCCACCGATTACACAGATGAGTACATAACTTCACAAGTACAATCTAGAAAGCAACGCAGAGAAGAGTAGGAACAAAAAAGACGCAACTTCAATGACTCAGAAGCAACCAGAGATTTTCGCGCGAAACCCATAACTTTTTCCCGGAAAAACAAAGAAGAATGCTAGATCGAAACAGCAAAAACCAATACTTAATCCTTGAATCAAAGTATATAAAGAGGATCAAGCTCAAAAATTAGGGCAGATAACGAACCTCCTTTCACCGAGACGAAGCCGATCAGAGAAGAGTGATGGAACCTAATGAATCGAATCGAGACGAAATTTCCGATCAATAAATCAGAGAGGGAAATAACAGCACGAAATCGAATCAATAGATGTTGATGCGCAGCGAAGATCGAAGAGGAGAAACCCTAGCAATCTCGATGAAGCGATATTTGGGGAAGAAAAAGCTACGCCCAAATCATGCAGATAGAGATCTTCGTTTAGAGAGAGGATATATAACGAGAGATTGGTGAGATTGTGTGATTTATATATCTCTTAACCGGTTCAATGTCGATAATTTAGAAAACCGGTTTATCTTAAACCTTCTCCTTCTCGATTTTGACCAATGAGTCTTTTTTTTCGCGTCTATCTTTGATATTTTGAGCCTTACATGTATATGAGTATATCCAACATATATCATAAAGAAAAAAAAAATGACATAGAACAAGATTCAATGAAAGAGCATAGAAAACTAAATGAAGAGCTCTGATCACCTGAAACCTCAACAAGGCAATTTATTAGTGCTTATCAGGTTTCTAGCATTTGTCAATACGCATATGCTCAACTAAACACCGGAACAAAATAAAAAGCCATGTATATGAGGATACATCAGAATCTGGTTATATGTGAACAAATATTCGATTAATAAGACCAAATACATCAAACACTAAACGAGAAATGGTTAGCTTTATCTCTCATTGATAAAATCAAAAACTCAAGAAAGCATATCCAAAAAGCTTTTCTCCAATCTACCATCCGATAACATATCGATAACCATCTTTATCGTGGAAGCATCAGCAGAGAACCTGCACCTCTTCATTTCTTCGATCAGTTTAGCTGATTTGGTTGCATCACCATCTCCAAGATGTGCCTTGATGAGTATGTTGTATGTACAACCATCTGGCGCATGCCCATCTTCTTCCATTTTTCTAAACAACAGTTCCGCTTCAAACAGTGAGCCTTTCTTACACAGTCCCCCAATCATTATAGTGTATGTTTTGACATCGGGCTTCACTCCTTTGAGAGGGATGCTACAGAATAATTCCCAAGCATCATCCACCTTACTAGCATTGCACATCCCATGAATGATGATGTTATATATACCAATATCAAGCTCCATCTTACTCTTCTGTATTTTTTCAAATATTTCCAATGCTTTTTCTGGTTCCCCATTGTCACACAACCCATCCAGCAAAATTTTGTAAGTGACAATATTAGGAGGAACGCCACGAGAAACCATCTCTTGGAAGAGTTCTTTGGCAACCTCAAGTTTTCCCAACTCACAAAAGCCTTGGATAAGAGTGTTATAAGTAATTGTATCTGCAACCACTCCTTTCAACGACATTTTGCGGACGAGTTCCAAACCATCGCCAACCTGCTTAGCCTTGCAATATCCATTTATGAGGATATTGAACGTCACGATATCAGGATCACACCCTTTGCTAACCATCAGATCCAACATCTGGTTGGCCTCATCTAGGCGCTTCTCCTTGCAAAACCCATCTATCAAGGAACTATATGTAATCGTGTCAGGAGCTATACCTCTTGTGATCATCTCCTTGTGCAGTTCTTCGGCCTCTCGAAGCTTTCCCTCTTTCACAAAACTATCAATTAAAGCATTGAAAGTGACAATGTTGGGGTTGATTTTCCTTGTGATCATATCCTTGAGCAACTGCGCACCATCATTCCATCTACCAGCATTACAAAAGCCTCCTATGAGAGAGTTGTAGGTAGAAACATTTGCTTTGATCCCTTTCATTTCCATTTCATTGAAAAAGTTGAGTGCGTTGTCGAGGCACCCGTCTTTGCAAAGACCATCAATGATGATACTGTATTTGACTGCATCTAGCTTGATCTTTCTTTCTTCCATCTTTCTAAGCAACTCCATGGCCAGGGCAGTTTTCCCGGACTTGCACATTACATTTAGAACCGGTCCATAGGTAACTTTGTTGGGTTGAAAGCCATTTTCAACCATTCGTTCAATCAAAACCACCGCTTCAGAGACTTTACCTTTGAGACAAAGGCCATTGACCAGAGTGTTAATCGTTATGAGAGTGGGTTTATGTCCCATTCCTACCATTCGATCAACTAATTCAACCGCTTCAGAAACTCTACCCTCAAGACATAAACCATTGAATAGAGTGTTAAAGATGACTGTGTTAGGCTCATACCCAAGCTTCATGATCTTCCCCAAAGCAGAAAAAGCATAACAAAGTTTACGACAGCGACAGAAGCAATTGATCATAATACTCAAAGTGTAGTTGTCATGCGCAATTCCCTTCAATTCCATTTGCTTGCAGAGATCTAACACAAGATTGTACTGCTTTGTTCTGGCAACGGCACTAAACAATTTACTGAAATCAACAAGACTAGGAAGAGGACGAGACCCAATCATGTCTTGGAAGAGATCAACAGCAACATCTGCATTAATATCGACAAGCCCACATCTCAATCTCTCTCTATAAGAGAGATTTCTATCGCTGAAGCCAGAGAAGCCGCGTTCGCAGCAAAAAAATAGCTCATTTGGGCAATGGATCAACGAATTTCTCAGAGTACCTGTCTCCAGGAGACGAGACTGAACAAATTTCGAAGCTTGAGGACTCGATCTCCGAATCATCAACTTCATCATCTCAAGCTCAATCGGTCCTTTTTCAAACCCTCTCTGTGTAATTTGCAAACCCTACAAAAGCATCCATGGGAGGAGCTGAGCTTTAGAGACAAAAAAAAAAAAGAACACTCTGAAACTTATCGATTAAACCGGTTCAGTTCAAATTATACCGAAATTGGTTTAGTTGAGTTTTACTGTTAATATCGTTCACAAAAACAATTCAAAATTTTGAATAATCGTCAGCTCCCTAAACAATATGTATATGAACTCATTGCATTTGATATTTTCATAAAGACACTACAAGTCACTGCCCTGAATCGAAGCAATTTCCTAAGCGATTCATATCATACTGTAAATTCAACACTGGTTATGTTCTTAGTGTAGTGTAGTACAAATATGTTTAGTGTATTAGAAGGGATAAAAAAAAAAAATCTGAATTTAATTAGTTATAACAAAAAGTATCTGCAAACAGAGTAAGAAAAGGAACCGCATCTTCTCATTTTTCCAGCTCGATGAGCATTGTGAACCGCATCTGTTGGAAGCTCAAGATCAACCATGAGATCACATTCCGCATCATCCAAACCCCGAGCCGAGCGCTCGTTAGTCACAAGTACCCTAACATCCCTGTTCTTGAACTTTCTTTAGAACCTCTGATCTCCCTACCTGCCTGAGATCTCTATGCAGTTCTGCGGAACTCATACCATGAGCTTCGATCGTGTTGAAGTTTAGAGATGCAGTAATAGTGTTGAAGGGCTAACCAGAAGTCAAAGTGTTTGAGGATTTAGTTTTAGAGTTTTCATGGAACAGTAAACATTTAACTGCAAAATTTAGAAAATAAAAGAGAAGAGATACCATTTTGAGAAGGTGTCAAGGCAAACAGACAAACCATTAGGCTGTATCTAGACATTTTAGCAAAGGTTCAGCTACTAAGCCTGAGTTCCTCTGAAACGCTTAACACCAGGAGATCTTCTCGGCTCTTTGAACCTGCCAAGTGCCAACACAATCACGCAGAAGAATGTTTCTGAGTTTTAGTGATCAATCAGTTTAAAAACCTGCTTAGTAGATCAGATATTGGCACACATAACTAACCTTTGCTAAGACAATAATTAAAAACCACCAAACCGCTAAGAAAGCATATCTAAAAAGCTTTTGTCCAGTTCACCACTCGATAACATATCAATAACCATCTTAATACTGGAAGCATCTGCTGAGAACCCACAACTCTTCATTTCTTCAATAAGTTTAGCTGATGCAGTTAAGTCACCATCTCGGAGATGTGCCCGGATTAGTGTGTTGTATGTACAATCATTTGGCTCATTCCCATCTTCCTCCATTTTTCTAAGCAAGATGTTTGCTTCAGATAGTGACCCTTTCTTACATAATCCTGAAATCATCACGGTGTATGTCATAACATTAGGCTTCACTCCTTTACAAGGTAGGCTACAGAATAAATTCCAGGCATCTTCCACTTTTCCACCCTTGCACATCCCCTCGATGATGATTGTATACATAACAATATCAAGATTCATCTTACTCTTTTGCAAATCCTCAAAAATTTCCAATGCCTTTTCAAGCTTCCCATTGTCACACAAGCCATCAAGCAAAATACCATATGTCATAACATCAGGAAGAACACCGAGTGAAACCATTTCTTGGAAAAGTTCCTCCGCGATCTCTAGTTTCCCGGATTGACAAAACCCTTGGACAAGAATGCTATAAGTAACTGTATTGGCAACCAAGCCTCTCTTAGAAATCTTGCGGAAGAGTTTCATACCTTCGTCAACCCTTTTCACCTTACAATATCCTTTAATGAGACTTGTAAAAGTCACGATATCAGGACTGCAATTATTCCTAACCATAAGATCCAACATATTGTTGGCCTCGCTAAGACGGTTCTGCATACAATACCCATCCATCAAGGAATTATAAGTAATAGTGTTAGGTGATATACCTTTTGTGATCATCTCTTTGTACAATTCGTTAGCCTCCTGAAGCTTCCCTTCTTTAACAAAAACATCAATCAATACATTGAAAGTGATGACATTAGGGATGATTTTCCTACTCGTCATATCCTTCAACAACTGCACACCATCATTCCATTTACCGGCTTTACAAAGACCTCCCACAAGAGAATTATACGTAACAAGACTAGATTTGATACCTTTCGTTTCCATTTCCTTGAAAAGGCTAATTGCAGCGTCTATGCAGCCATCTCTACAAAGACTATCAATGATTGTACTGTAAGTAAACACATCAGCCTTAACATTTCTTTCATCCATCTTTCTGAGCAAATCCAAGGCTAAAGAAGTATCTCCTGATTTACATATCCCATTTACAATCGAATTATAAGTAACCACATTGGGTTGACATCCGTTCTCCACCATCCTAGCGACTAAAACCACAGCTTCAGAAACTTTACTCTCGAGACAGAGTCCATTGATCAGAGTATTAAACGTGGTAGTGTCAGGCTCATACCCAAGCTTCATAACTTTTCCCAAAACAGAATAAGCAAAACAAGTTTTACAACACCGGCAAAAGCAATTGATCATGATATTCAAAGTGTAGATATTATGAGCAATCCCATTCAATTCCATCTTCTTGCAGAAATCTAACACGAGATTGAACTGTTTTGTGCTTGCAACACCACTAAAGAATCTACTGAAATCAACAAGACTAGGAAGAGGACGAGACCTAATCATTTCTTGAAACAGATCAATAGCATCATCTTCCTTAATATCAACAATCCCACTTCTCAATCTCTCTCCGTAACAGACTCTCCCATCGCTAATACCAGAAATGGTACAGAGAAAATCAGTTCTAAGAGTACCTGTATCCAAGAGATGAGGCTGAACCAATCTCAAAGACTTCAAATTTATAGCAATCGATCTCCTTATCATCATTATTTCTTCAGCCGGATTGTTCGATTTCCTCGATTTGGAAATGGATGTTCGAATACACGTAGATGTGTACGTAGATGTTGAAATTGGGTTTAAATTTGGCCCAGTTGTTTTTGTTTTTCAAAAAAACGTGGCCCAGTTATATTTTTATTTAAAGAAAGTTGCCCAATTTTGTTTTTTGGGTTATAAAAAAGTGGCTGGTCCACTACATATGCTTACTTTTGACTCGTGCAATTCCCATCTATGTGCAATGCTCTTCTCTCTTTCACCACCGACTAATATGCCACTAGCTAGTAGCGGATTCGAGCAGTGACGACTTGAATGTAAATAGGCTTTTTAAGGGTTCCGATGTCTCAGTTTTCAGACCATGTGTGTGTAAGTAAGCATTTTTGTTTTTCTTCCTTCACTTTAGAAATCGATAAGCAACAGGAACATCATCATTTTTGTAGCATTCATATATCTCCGGTTGCATCAAGGTTATGATATGAGTAAGTGCTTTACAATTTTGATAATCAAGAATGTATTTCCTGCAGGATCTGAATCAACCAAAAGTCCGAGATAGATTCATTTACCTATATTGATATCCCCATAACATGAATATAAGAAAGCATAAAATTTTATTACCTAAATCATAGCTTATATAGAGAAGGTCAATCCATTACATTATAAGTGAGAAATATATTGTGAAACATATATTTTAGAGATTTGTATTAATGTTATGGATCTTCTAATGTACCTTCTCTATAGCTTCCTCGCAGCCAAGAAGGCGTCAAACTCCTTATCATAATATTCGTAACGTCTTTTCATTGACGCGAGAAACGCCTGATATTGATTGTAATCAGAGTGAGCCTCCATACACTTGTACACGGTGTCAAAAGCTTCAAGTTTCCTATGGAACGTGAGAGTGTTATTGTTTCTCGTATATTCTGCATCACGACGTCTAAAAGACCTTATTGATTCTCTGCAAGGATCTCTCATGAACTCAGACACCTGCTTAGCTTTTTCCTTTGGTTCTTTAGCGGGGAAGACGGGATCACGGTTCCTCTCCTCGATTTCGTCGACAGTTTTCCATATCGAATAATACGGCTGATAGTAATCCAAGTGAACCTTCATACACTGATCCAGCTTCCACATGGTTTCACTACAATCAACAATTGTGTTCCCTTCGCAATCTTCAAAAGCTGTAAACGATTCTTTGCAACCACCTCCTATCATGAACATGCGATATCGTTCTCGCTGTTCCTCTGACGGACCTTGGTAATTTTGAGTTTTGGGGTCGGAATTTTCGGGTTTCAGATCCGTGGGTGACATGATCCCTATGCCGTGCGAGAGATCGAATCTTATAGAAATCGTATTCGCTTTTAAGGGTTTAATCAGCAAGCTCTATGTATTCTTCTTATTGGCAAATCTACCAGAGGCATATTTATATATTCAAATTTGACCTTTTTCTTGCAACGCAAGACTTTTACGAAAGAGAGAAAATGAAATATAGAGAGAGAAGAGGAAGTTGAATATACACTAGAAGCGCAGAGAAAAGGTAAATATCCAAAAAAAGACAAAAGAAGAAGATATCCATCAAGTTATATGTGTAGTCGAAAACTTGATTGTCAAATGTCAATCATTCTTTAATTAATTAATACGAGAGGGTGACATTAATTAAGGTTAGAGCCTTTTTAATACTATAATAATAATTTGGATTCTAAAACACCTGAATGAATATCTTAACCGAACTATTCAGAACCGAACGACAAACCAAATCAAATACCCGGAATTCCCACGCCTAATTAAGACCGAGCCGGAGAAACCGTCCCTAAATCGGAAGAAAACCGTGTCGTTTCTACCCCCAAGAAGATAACGGCGGCGATGGCGGATCTCTCACCACCGTTGACGACGAAAGAAGCCTTTGAGAAAGTTGATAACTTGAACCTCACTTGTCCTGTTGGATATGACTACGTCGATAACGAAGCTTACGGTTAAGTATTATCATCATAAATCAATTTCCTTTCTTTCTTCTAAGATTCTCTTTGTTTAGCAATTCCACTGTACATAACTTATTGAATTCCTGGATATATCAATGTATGAGTTTCTTGATCAGTGTGGAAATAGATGAGTCTGGCTTCATTGCATGTATTAGAGATTCATCTGTTTTTTGTTTGTATTGGCCAACTAGTTCGAGCTATAGGGGACTCTGTTTGTATTGGCCAATTAGTTCGAGCACTTAGGGTACTCTGTTTTGTTTCTTTTCCATTAATCGTTTTTAACTTTAGGGTACTCTGTTTTGTTTCTTCTAATTGTTTTCCATGAATCGTTTAAAGATCGTCTTACATACAGTAGAAACTATCGAGTATGATTTATATTGATCCCGATTTAATTCAAAGTCTGTATGTTTTTCTTGGTAGTCAAAAGTCATTCATCAACTTTTGTAACCCGTTTATTTATGTGCAGACTTGTTGAACCCTCATTATTTCAAGGGTTTATATTTAGAATACTATCCCACCTTTTTTAATGAAAAACTTCATATCAGGTGATTATGTTTATGTTTATAGTCATATTTGCACACAATTTTTGTCCTTCTCTTTGGGTTAAACCCATTTATTCTTGTGTCAAACAGTTCAACGATGGGGACAAAACATTATCAGCTTTGTGCCTCCTACTTAAACCCAAAGGTTTTATTTGGAAAAAAAAAAAAAGTGTTATTGGATTATTTAATAAAAATTACCTTTTTGTTCCTTTGTGGAAATCAAAAGATAAATGTTTTGTTGCAGCTGGTGTTTATGGGTAAAGTTAATTCTCATGGTAGACTAAGTGCGAGAGTGAAAGCCGTTATAACTGATAAGTTGATTGTGCATGCACATAGTGAAGTAAGTTTTGCAACTAGAGATAATGCCATTATTCTATGCTGTATCTTTCTCTTGACAAAATGTATTTTCTTACGTTCTTTTCCAGCTGAGAAAGGCACTAGTCAACTTTGAATACCTGGTGAGGAAATTATCTCTATAAGAAGATTTGCTATCTTTGTGATGAACGTTTTGATTAATAGTTTCTTTAATTTTTTTTTTTTTTCTCACATTTCTGTAGGCTCTAAACTACAGAGCTCAATTTCAACTCGGGAGCAATAGCATAATTGGAGCAACATATATCCAAGTAGATTTGATGTGTTCTAAGCTTTTTAATACATCAATAACAATTAGCTCACAGATACAAAAGAAAAAGAATCGACTCTTTGCATCACATTTTACTATAAAAGTTGTTTTTTTTTTTGTTGATAGTAATTTTCTGTACAGCGTGTGACACCTCGTTTATCTTTGGGAGGTGAGTTCTTCTGGGCCACTATGGCTCAAGAGTCGGGTGTAGGTTATGCTGCAAGATACGAGACCAATAAGATGGTAATGCTTCTTCTCAGTCACTTTATTAGATAGCTCACAAACTCGATTCATAGGAAATTCGGATCATATTTTATATTGGTGAATGCTTTTATTTTTTATTTACCAATCATATTGAGAACTTTTCTCTATTAACAGGTCGCCTCTGCGAAAGTTATTAGCACTGGTAGTGTAATTATGACATATGTTCAAAAGATTTCAAAGAAGGTAATGCGCTTATCTCATGTAATTTTATCTTTAAACTCGCTAGATATGAAATAATAATCATGACCCTTGTATCTTTTTGCTCATTATCAGGTTTCACTCGCCACTGATTTTGTGTACAACTGCTTTTCAAGAGATGTTAAAGCTAAAGTTGGATATGAGTGCGACATTTCTAGATTGGTAATATTGGTATTTTTAGATTATAATGGAATTGAAAACTAAGTCTTTATAAATCCGTTTTAATTGTAATAATTTGAGCTTTTGTTTCAGTCTAGGGTCCAGGGAATGATTGATTCTAACGGTGTTGCATATGCACTTCTTAAAAAGGAAATGAAAATGGGACTCGCTAGTCTTCTATCTGCATGTTTGGATCATATGAAAAAGGATTACAAGCTTGGTTTGAGCTTAACATATCATTAAGAACTGCAGAAAAGTTGCCTTCAGTAAGGACGAAAACTACATGATATGAATGTGTAAATGACTGAAGAAAATACTTAACTACTAGAAACACTTTTTTTTTTTTTGTGGGAGCATTTTTGGTTAGATTCAGATATTGAGTGAGTGGGTTTGTGACTGGGTGCAATTGCATTGTCAAGTGAGTTTGCAAATTTTTAGCCTGCTTTTAACTATTTTCATCTTTCTCTATTTGAGCAAGACATGATTGTAGCTTTCATCTCTTCTTTGCTCAATGATGCCTCAACAATAAGCTGCAACTAACAAGCAATCCAAAAAAGACTGAATCATCCAAGATTCATAAAACAGACGTTATGAAGAAGACGGTCGATAAACTTTACCTCTACCGAACAGTGGTTGGGACTAGAAAAGATGCACCACCATATGTTAGGATTCTTTAGTCTCTCCCATTTCCCACTCCATCCTACCGGACCATCGTGGATATCTCTATGGTTGTTGGTTTTTGTTTTAGGCTTTTGATGTTGTTCGTTAGTTCTTTCTCCAATTTTAGGTGTACTTTGCCTCAGACAACAACTGATTTCTATAAAGTTATATTAATCACAAATATTATTTTGTGTCTTGTCAATAACATGCATGATGCATTATAATCGATTTAAACTACAAATCATAGTTAAAATCACAAAATAATTATACTACATGTCACGATTAAGTACACAATAATTTCTACCTTTTTAATAATATTGTTGACATATTTAAATTTTTTTTAATAAATTTTCTTTTAAGTTTTATAAACATATTTATTGTAAGATGTTTCAACGTCAATATGGGTCTCGTCACCGCAGTCTCATATTTCATATGTTTAGTCAACGTATAGTTCATATTTAAAATGGATTACTATGAAATTGATGTTTAAAATTATCACAATTTGGAAGTTGGCGAATTAAATTATTATTTTTTTCTTAAAACAATGTCGTTTTAACATATTAACAACATGTCTATTTTGGCATGATCAATGCAGCCTGATGTTTCATATGTTTGGTCAACGTTTAGTTCATGTTTAAAATGGTCTACATAAAATTGATGTTTAAAATAATCATTGTTTGAAAGTTGGGGAATTAAATGATATTTTTTCCAAAATAAAATCCACATACGATGATTTGCTCTGATCCTCTGTTTTCTGTAGAGGGAAGTGCAGGTGGATTGATGCAGTTGGGCCTAACTCCAAATGGGGCATGTGTTGTGAATTTCTTGTGGTTTGAGAGATTTTTTTTGCTTTAAAGGTTTGTCATGCGGTAATTAAATAAGCACGACTACGTTTAGAACCGGTTTAATGTGCCGGTTCAGATCAAACTGGATTAATTATATATGCTGACATACTGTACCATTTTAAAAGAAAACCTATATCTTAACATTTGCTAATTCGAACCCCAAAATATTCATCACTAAAAAGAAAAAGCTTATATTTAGTGCTTTGTTTATGTAACAATGATTTCGTTATTTTTTATGCAAAACTATATACGTAGGCCAGTGAAAAACGACCAAGCTTGTAATCCTTGTTAAGCATGATTAACGGTTGGACTCCATTAGGGAGTCCAAACCATATTTATAATTGTAAAAAATGCAAATTTTGAAATTTAGACATTTAGTTGGTTTTTCATTTTTTTCGCTCTCCAATGGTAGATCCAAAATTAAGGATCCAAAATTTTAAATAACATTGTGTGCATGAAATCTCAATAAATATCAACAACACAGTTGATAAATTTCAAGGTGTTGGCACTCTCAACACTAAGTTCAAATCTCCACAAAGATACTTTTACTCCATTTTTCTCCCTTTAGCCATAAATATTTTTTTTGGTCTTATATTTATTAATTTTTCTTTTAAAAATCACAGCAATTAATATATCATTTTTAAATTGCTTATAAAAATGATTTTCTTGTGGGTTTATATAATATTATAATAAAATTAGTTATATAATATTGTTTTTAAAATATTTTTGACTCCACTAAAATTTAGTTTGAGTCCGCTAACCCAACACTAGCTGTTTATCTCTTAACATCTCTTGAAACGCAATTGTACACAAAATCAGTGGCGAGTGAAACCTTATTATGAATAAAAAGATACATGTGTCATGATTATTATATTATCTCTACCAAGTTTAACGATAAAATTAAATGAGAAAAGCGCATTACCTTATTTAAAATCTTTTGAACATAGGTCATAATTAGTACATCACCATTGCATTGTATTAGAGACTTACATGTCTTATGTTTGTACTTGCCAATTAGGTCGAGCACTTTAGGGTATTCTATATCATTTCTAATTGTTTTTCATGAATCATTTAAAGGTGGTCTTACATGCAGTAAAAACTATCTAGTATGATTTAAATTTGATCTGGATTTGATTCAAAGTCTCTCTGTCTTGGGAGTCAAAAGTCATTCGTCAACTTCTTGTAACCAATTTTATTGGTGTGCTTAAGTTAAGCGCAGTGGTGATGTACTTATGACCTATGTTCAAAAGATTTCAAAGAAGGTATTGCACTTTTCTCAATATGATAACAGTAAAAGCATTCACCAATAGAAAACATGATCCAAATGTGATTATTATAAAATAACCTAAAAGATATCTTTAGATTATTGTTTATCGATTAAAACCTGTACAAAATGTGTTTTGGATCTTCTGACACTCGAACTTCCATAAAATGAAAATAATAACATTACTAAGAAATAAACAAAGAAAACTTAGTGGTTAATAATAAGAAAACCTTAAAACGAAGATTGAGATGCGTCCAAAACGATTTTTAGAAACGAAAATGAATAAATAGTTTATAAAAAATAGAACAAAAACCAATTTCAATGTTTTTCACCGGTTTGGTTTCCAAGGATATTTTCGTTTTTCACTGCCATATGTAGTTAATTTGTAATAAAATTTACGATTACAAAAAATAAACTCATGTTCAAAACGGACATAAACTTGCAATCTTCCTTTCACTACACTACTTCTACCTTCCAAAGGAAAATTCTTGGGTTCAATCTTAGGTTGAATCATTTTATTCACATCTTTCTTTTCTAACCAATAAGAATCTGCCACTGAATAAAAAAAAAATTCATTTAATTGTAAAATCTAATTTGTTACCAAATCAAAGTTATATATTGATTTAGGTTTATCAAGGAGGGTTGAGATTTAGATTTTATAATTAAACGAGGTTAAATATGAGTTTGAGTTTATAAAAAAAGATTAGGGTTTAGATTTTATATAACTAAACGAGCTTAAATATCGGTTTAGGTTTATAAACGGGTTTATATTTTACAATTTAACGAAGTTAAATATCGGTTTGAGTTTATAAAGAAGAATTAGAGTTTAAATTTTTATAATTAAATAATAAATAATAATTAAGTGACATATTTTGATTGGTTAGAATAAGAGGGGGTGAACAAAAAAAATCCACCATATGGGTGAACCAATCATTGTTCCTTGTGAAAGCGAAATCAATGTTCCATAAACAAACCACTAAATGTAAGCTTTTTCCTTTTTGTGATGAAATATTTTGGGGTTCAAATAGCAAATGTTAAGAATTAGGTTCTTTTTAAAAAAATGGTAAATATAATCAATCTGGTTTAATCTGTACCGGCGCCCCAAAGTATTAAAGAGTCCATCGATTTATTTGTACAAGTCAGTAGTCACTGATGCTGAGATGGGATTCAAGAAGACTGGGACTGATTCTTCTCTCTCGTATCCATGATAGGAGGCTGGAGTCTTGAAAGAGCCGAACCTTTTCCTCTGGAACAGTTTGCTCTTGATGTAGAAATTTGACGTGAAGAGTCCGTTTGGTGTTATAGAGCTCTGTGAGTTTCTCTATGATCACCCCTAGAGGTAGGCAGGTAGCTGCATATGTCCTACTGGATTGGGAACCTTGTCTGTAGGAAGTTGCCCTGGAAGGTGGGAATTGATTGTTTCTGATCCAATCCCTCATGTCCTTTGCTGAGACCCTACTCCCCCTACCTCCCCTGTCATTAGGTCTAGAGGGGGCTTCTTGCTCAAACAAGGAACGGGAGCGCTTCCTGTCTCCCTGATGACGCTTATTCTCATCAAGACGGGTGAGAGTTAGTAGCTGGTTAACCCCAAGGGGTCTCGAAGATGAGAGATGCGGGCAGTGTTTTTTCTCATGAGCAAGCGAGAAGCAGTGTTTCTCCCACTTTTCATAGACAGAATCCACCACAGTGATTTCATCTTAGGGGAGGCTGATTTCCATACTCATCTCAAGAGGTCTTAGACCATTGATGTCCACTCTGACCCTAGCTTGGTCCACATCTTTCCCTGATGCTCTTGTCAGTTCCATGATGAACCGGAATGCCAATAATTTCAACCCAGAAAGTTATGACTATTACGTTGGTCCCTCTTCAAAGCCAAGAGATGTGTTATGTGTAACACACAAGAACAAGTAACCAAAGAGATAAACTCTATTTTTGTCAATTTTCAAGTCTCCTTCATCATGATGACATTGATGTCTTTAAATACACAAAGGAAGCAAAGTGGATCGATCACTAATCCTAGAAACAAGGAACATAATTAACAAGTGGGAAAATGGAAACGTGGAGATTGATCTCCCTAAATTAAGGGATACACTAAGGATTTGTTTCTTCTTTGCTCCTTGACCAAGTCTTCCTTGGTTTAATCCTGGTCATGATCTTATCAATGACTGACGGGAAGTCGGGAGCGACAATGGGTTCCCACTTTTGAAGGATGAGCATCCACTGTTTGAAGTGGTATGGACCCTTCCTTAACACCGAAACAGGAAAGTTTCCCTCCCTAAGTCTCTGCAAGTGACCCTCCCTTCAAGGTTCCAGAACTGAGGGAGAAAGTCGATGATTGCTCTGGCTTTTTGCACATAAGGGTTTGTGGCTCTTCCAATCAGAGTTAGACGGTTTGCCTCGATTATTGCAGAGTTATCCTCTGCAGGGATCTTGACCGGGGAGCGTCGGGAGAACTTGTGTGGCACAGCAGGCCACTTTCCTTTTTCGAAGCAAGAGTAAAGGTGAGACATACTGCTGAGGAGTGTGACGGCCGCTAAGTGAGAAAGATAACTGGAGCTCGGTAACGAGAAGCAGAGGTGCTTCAGTGAAAAACCCAAGGACGGTGGGAAAATCCTCAGTGACGAGGTAAGAGTAGAGAAAATAGCTCTAAAATGCCTACACAACGCAGGAGCAAGGTCAGCGAGAGACCCTAAGACCGAACTGGACTGTTTACTGCCAAGGAAAGAACAGAGGGAACGTTCTGAAAACTCCTCAACAGGTAAAGCTGGGGAAGGATTTAGTTAGCTTTCCTCATGTTGGTAGTGCTAGAGGGCCTGGAGAGACCGGGAGCTGGTGGAAAATCGCTGGAAAAAGAGAAATTTAAAATTCTGGACTCCCCGTCGTTGTGAAGAGGCAGATGCGGTGAGGCAACGGCGGAAGAAAAGTAGGTGAGAAGCTTCGAAATTCGTGCCTGGGAGAAAGTTCAAACCTCGTACGGAATCTAGATTTTTTCACTGCTCTTGTTTTAACGGAGCTTCATTTTTTGTAACGTTTTTGTTTCCTTAGTTATCTTATATTCACATTTTGATATTTTTTTAGTCATCCGCCAATATCTTCCTTAGTCTAATGTTAGTAAATTCATGTTACTTCAACACTACTGAGATTGTGATTTTGGATAAAACTTGGATTGATTTACGATAACCTCTGGAAAAGTACGGTGTTCTGATTTATTAAGTGACAGGAAATGGTGCTGGTGTTTGTATAATGAGCAATGCATGGAAAGATGAACAAGCACCTTCATTGATCAGTTTCATATCCGCGTTTCACCGCAAACTCTTTCCGCCTAAACTTTGTCTCAATCCTCCCTGTTTTGTTCCTTCTTTCTCTGTTTAGAATCTTTCAGGGAATTGGATATCTAAAAATTAGCTTAAAGAATTCACTTTTTTTTTTTTATGTGATAGGATCTGATCTTTAATTGTGGAGGTGTTTCTATTGCTTCTGTTTTTGTCACAAAATGGGATTGTTCCAATGTTGCTTCCATCTTCAACAGGTCTATATAATATACGTTCAAGCTCTCTCTATTACAGTCTCCTATATGTCTTTTGTCTTCTGATTTCTTTTGACTTAACCTTTGTAGAGTAAAGAGGCTGAAAGGGCAATTTGCGCAACTTTATGTTGTTGCCACACTTTCAACTAAAGAACAGAGTGATTCATTCATGCGATCTTACTTCCAGTGAGTGGTCTTCTACACATCTTTTTCCACTTTGCACCATTTTGCTTATCTGTCTTGCCGTAAATGAAGCTCGATAAGTCTTTTTGTAGATATGAGATGGAGTTTGGGAAACCTGCATTTGTACAAGTCACTGATGCTGAGATGGGATTCGAGAAGATTGTTAAGATTGCTCACTCTCGTGGGGGTAAGACTCATTTGTTTAGTATTAGTGAGGATACTCTATGGTTTTTTGTTTTGAGTGATTGACTGATTAGATTGAAACTTGAGCTTCAGTGTTGCAAGCAACAGAAGGTGGCGTCTAAGCTCAAGGTTGAGGTAGGTTCTCAAAGATCATTTCTTATAATGATCTGTTTCGATACTTGTTTTTGGCAATCTCTAAAGCTTCTTTTTTTTTTGTTCTTTCATGTGAAGAGAAAGCGAATTGTGCAGGATACAGACATTTTCATAAGATTTGTCACATCTATACCCAACATTAACAAACATGATGCAAACACGGTAATGTTTTACTTTTGATACATTTGAAATACAATTCCAACTTCGAACTTTAAACCTGATTGCGATTCATGCCTCTGCACCACGAATCCTGCTTGCTTACTTATGTTCTCATTGGTTACAGCTGTGCCAGGCTATTGGTTCAATCGAAGCAATCGCTAAAGCATCCAAAGAAGACATTTTAGCAATTAGCAAACACAGATCTCTCTTCTGAAAAGGCTGAGACACTCACCAGGTTCTTCCAAGATCCTGAGTTCTACCTCAGTCCCAAATTCAACTGATGACTGCACAAACTGTTGTAAGATCACAAGTCTTTGGCTGCATATAAACTCCGTAACAAAGATTTACCCATCTTATTCTTGGCCGTAACAGTTTCCAAGACTTTTCGTAGTCCTTTGCTATTGGCTACAATACATACATCTATAGGAGGAGCCAGTACCAGGTAAGTAAAATGTCTCATTTCTTTACCTGTGCTAGCTCTGTCCGAATATCAGTACTTTTCTTACATTCCTTTCTTAAAGTATTTAGATGGTGTTTAGTATCTGAACTTAATCAATAAAGATCGGTACCAATTTTTTTTGATGTTTGCAGTAATTAATTACTCGAAGTACCACCAAACTGAATCATGAAAACGTTTGGTAGATTGATTGATAAGTTTGATAGTTAAGCACAATAAATGACCGCACTTGTTTTCTTTTTGTTGATGTTTAGGATTTTGGGTTTCTTTGATCTTAAGCAAAAACGACAAGCTAACAAAACCCATGGCCATGTGGAATGGCTTTGCATTTAGAAATCTTAGGTTGGGTTTTTTGAAATTCGAGGAATTTACCATTTCTATGTCCAAATTGATGCAAAATACGTGTTATGGAATTTATTTCAAAATTGGTCTATATAATGATATATTTTGTTAGAAAAGAAACCATACTAAAAATATAGTCCTTCTAAAAAATAGTACGTTTTATTTTGCCAACTTTAACACCAAAACATTTCAACTGTACCCAAATCGGATACCAAAATAAAGTTGATACCAGTCATCAATTTGATCATTATATAAACGTTATCGGTAGATCTCTGCTGTCTCTGTCACACTCCTATGTATAGGATAAACATAAATATTGATTGGACAACGTTACTATCCAATTTTTAGCGTGTTATCAATCAGTAGACAATAGGCTTAGCGAAGGACAGTATGATTATCTAAGCCTATAGAAAATGATCCTAAATTACTAAATTACCTCCCTGTTTTCATAATCCTATTTACAAAAATAGGTGAAAAATGTCATTGCAACAAAAGAAGAAAGACTTATCTTTTATTATTTCCTATTTAATTAACTAAAATCCGCCGAGAAAAGATCACCATCAATGCGTAACTGAAAATCGAGGAATCAAAGCTATCATACGCTTATACACGGATCATCATCATCGTTGTCAGGATCATCACTGCCCTTTTTATAGAAACCAACAAAAACATCATAGAGCCCACTCTTTTTTTCTATTTTTCGCTTTGCGTGCCTTCTTATCAACTTGTAAACAAAGCTACAAATATATCAATAAATAAGGACCCAACTCTTCTTCTTTCTATCAATCTTCTTCATTTCTTCTGTTGGTGGTGATCAATCTAGTTTAAAAGAATCGATTTTTATAAGCCATCTCAACTCAAAGTATATAATAATCAGCTTATTAAACAAGAAAAACACATATTTAATTTTGTCATTAAGAAGAAATACGAATTTTACTTCAAACAGGATTAATATATAAATAAAAAGCTAGCAACCGTGAAACAAAGAATCAAAAAGGCGAAAAGAAAGAAAAAAAAAGCAAAAAGAGAGAGAGAGAGAAGAAGAAGTGAGACTTGTGTTCTTACGGTGTTTATAGCTTCTTTGTTTTGTCTTTTAGGTTCTTGCCTTTTTCCAATCAATCAGACCAATCCCTCCTTCACTTTTAGCATCTTCTTCTTCTTTCATCTTATTCTCTTTCCTTGTCTTTATATATCTGGGAATTTTCTTCAATCGATTCCTCTTTGTTGTAATCACAAATAGAGAGAGAGAGATATGTATAATCAGTTGGCGATATCTTCTTCTTCATCATCATCTTCTTCTTCTTCGTACTATGAATCTTTGAAGATTTTGGAAGCTGATGTTCAACACGCTAATTCTTTGTAAGTCCTTTTTTCTGGGTTTCTCATAAAGTTTAAGACTTTAGTTTGAAATTGTTTGATTTGTTGAGCTATAAGAGTATAGTTGGTGACAAAATTGAAAACCCAGCTGAGAATTTTAGGTCTTCTCAACAAATTTGGGTTATTTTAGGAAACTCCGATGGACTTTTTAGTTTAGTTTTAGAAAGCTTTCACAAAATGGAAAAATCTGGAAAGTTGTTGTTGGTTTTGATATTGCAAATTTAGAAGCTTTTTTTTGGCTCAAGGTTTCAAGTTTGTTATTGCACATGTTCTGTTCGATGAATTGTGTATGAGAACTTTGAGCTGTATATCTTTTCAGGGAAGAAGCAATTCCAATGGGGAAGAACAATGTGCGGCTTCAGATGAAGTTGGCTTTGGTTAATAAGCTAACTTTTGAAACACAGAAATTTATTCTCTTTTCCGAATTCGTATGACAAACAAGGATCACAATAAAACTTGAAAACGTTAGCCTAACCTATATAGACTTTCTTTTACAATCTTATCTTTGGGATTGAATTTGTAAGGAGATAATATATAAGATTTGATGTTGATTGATTGCAGGGTTATCTAAGAAACAAAGGGGACATTGAGAAACTCTTCTCCAAGCAGATGTGTGTTATAGATTCTTACCTTTTAAGTTTGCAAATAATATCAGGTGAATTGTAGAGTTCATAGCTTCTGTGGATCTCTGACCCTTGGCTTGATTTCGTTTTCTTGTGAGGTAACAGATTTGATACTGCGATTCATTTTGCGGGTCTTAAAGCTGTGGGTGAGAGTGTTGGCAACCCTCGCCGCTACTTTGACAATAACTTGGTTGGAACAATCAATCTATATGAGACCATGGCAAAGTACAACTGCAAAATGGTTAGATAGGATTCTTAAACTTCAGAAATGTCTTACTTTTTTCTCTTATATTTCCTTGTTCAGTTTTACATTAGTGGGGATACAAATTGATGTGTTGTTGGAATATACAGATGGTGTTTTCATCATCTGCAACTGTTTATGGACAACCTGAAAAGATTCCATGCATGGAAGACTTTGAATTAAAGGCTATGAATCCTTTTGGTCGTACTAAGGTAAATTTTACTCTTGAGCACACATCTGAATTTCGAGTTCCTTTGGATCGATAATGTCTCTCTCGCTTTTCCTCCTTTATCCAAGTCTCTCAGACTCTAGAAACTCTTTGTTGTTGTAGATTTATAATCGTGAAAGTTGGCTCTATTGTGATTGATACCTTGAAAAAAGTATTGGTGAGGATCCAAAAGGCATCCCCAATAATCTCATGCCTTACATCCAACAAGTGGCCGTTGGACGTTTACTGGAACTCAATGTCTATGGACATGACTATCCCACCAAGGATGGTAGTGCGGTAAGAGACTACATACATGTGATGGATTTAGCAGATGGCCATATCGCTGCGCTCAGGAAGCTATTTGCTGATCCAAAGATTGGTAATTCTCTCAGACATTTAAACTGTTAGAAAGAGTTTAGTTTGATTTGATGGATTCTTCTCAGACCTGAGTTATTGTAATATCAGGTTGTACTGCTTACAATCTAGGCACTGGTCAAGGAACGTCTGTGTTAGAAATGGTTGCAGCTTTTGAAAAAGCTTCCGGCAAAGTAATAACGGAAAATGAATTCAGAAGGGTACATAGTTTGTAATGGTTGTTTAAAATGGTGAAACAAAAACAACATTTGCAGAAAATCCCGATCAAGCTTTGTCCGAGAAGGTCAGGAGATGCAACAGGAGTTTATGCTTCAACAGAGAAGGCTGAGAAAGAACTTGGCTGGAAGTAAGTTAACTCTTTCACCATTAACATGATTGGTTTAGGAGATAAATAATGTTATTAAACAATTTGATTTGGTTTAAAGGGCAAAATATGGAGTGGATGAGATGTGCAGAGATCAGTGGAATTGGGCAAACAACAATCCATGGGGTTACCAGAAGAAGCTTTGAATTTACTTCCTTTTTTGGATTTACCATTTCTAATTACTCAAATCTATTGTGCTTTATATTCCACATGTATCGAACTGGTCTCTTACCGTGACATCTTCATTGGCCTTTAATGCTTGAGCAATGGCGAATGCCCCATCATCCTGCATATGATAAGACTGAGCTGCTTACAAGTCTTAAAAGAAGTCACTGTAATTGATAAACAAATTAGCTTTCTTTTACCCGTATTTCAATGAATCCTAGATCCACAGATGTCAGAGCTTCATTAACTACTTTCAAGCTCCGAGCTAAGCAGGAAGCTCCCTGAAAATAGCAATCATTCATTGATGAAAAAGCATATTTGGTAGAAATATCATAAGTACATATATAAAACAAGCTGAATATTGATAAAATCTGTCTGCAGAAACCTCATCTCTAAGTCCATTTGCCCGCAAGTCCAAAACCGAGATTGTGTTGTTATATCTCAACATGTCTGCAATATGTTCAGCACCCTTAGCAGCTATCTGCAGGACATAGGATCGAAAATCAAACAATGATAAAACGAAATAAGCAATTGTTAAAAAATATATATTTTATGGATAAAGAGTTATGGACAGGCTTTACCTGGCACCAACCAAGTTTGAGCATCTTTACATTTCCATGGAACTTGAGAATTTCAGATAATGCTCTTTAGCTCCGTCTGGTCCTATGGGATTATAACCAACCTCTAACTGAGGAAATATTAAGAGTGGTAGTGTCATTATCGTCCAAGTTATAAGTAAAAAAGAACAAAGATGAGAAAGATTTTTGGCGCTGACCGTTGTAATAATTGCATTATCTTTCAGAGCTTGAGCTATAGCATTGACTCCCTCCGCATGGATGTTATTTCCACCCTATTTTACAAAAACGCGTTAGCAGAACAAATAGCTCGATTTGGACGCAAGGTAAAACTTAGGGAGACTGGAGAAGATGGTGACTTCTCACCAGGTCAATGGTTGCAATCGAACGGTTTTGCTTCAGAGCATCTGCAATCTTTTCCGCTCCCTGAAACCATTATAAATCGTTAAGATAGACAACAGAGCAAAAAGAGACAATATCAGCATAACTTGTTTGCGGAGATGGGGTTGTTTCCGAGGTCTAGCAAAGCCAGTTTCCCTGCACACAAAAATGCATATCAGCATAACTACTGAATTCTACAGTAGAGGTAAGGAGGAGTTAATACAGACGTCTGAAGAGTGTTCTATTGAAAAACCTTTGTGAGAAGATAGACCAGCCATCAAAGCACGAGTTCCTTCGTCTCCAATAGAGTTTCCATGCAAATGAAGTTCCTGCGGGTAGAAAGGACAAGAGAACAGATCAACTGTTGATGACATTTACTCATTGTTTGTCTTTGATGACATCAGAAATCACCTTCAATGCATCATATAAGATAACACATCTAACTATGAAATGTTGAACATGATATCGCGAGCAATGACGACTAGCTAGCAATAAAAGTAACATAAAAGTAACATAAATGTTACATATAACACATCTAACTACTAGCTAGTATCGCGAGCAATGACGACTTAAATGTAAATAGGCTAGTAACATCCTTTATTTTATTTTTTTGGGCTAGTAACATCATGCTGTCTGTCTCTCTCAGTTTTTATACCATGTGTGTGTAAGTTATAAGCTTTATTGTTTTTCTTCCTTTAATTTAGAAAACGATAAGTGCTTTAAAATTGTGATAATCAAGAATGTATTTCCTGCATGATCTGAATCAACCAAAAGTCCGAGATAGATTCATTTACCTATATTGATAATTTGATATCCCCATAACAAGAATAAAAAGCATAAAAAATTTACTACCTAAATCATAGCTTATATAGAGAAGGACGATCCATAACATTATAAGTGAGAAATATATTGTCCACATATATCTTACAGATTTGTATTAATGTAATGGATCTTCTAATATACCTACTCTATAGTTTCTTCGCAGCCAAGAAGGCGTCAAACTCCTTAAAATAATATTCATCACGTTTTTCCTGTCCGCGAGAAAGGCCTCATAGTAATCAGAGTAAGCCTCCATACACTTGTACATGGTGTCAAGGGCTTCCTGTTGACTATGGAAAGTGACTATGGAAAGTGAGAGTGTTATTGTTCCTCGTATATTCTGCATCACGACGTTAGTAGCGAATTCGAGCAATGACGACTTGAATGTAAATAGGCTAGTAACATCATTTCTTTTTTGGGCTAGTAACATCATGCTGTCTCTCTCAGTTTTTATACCATGTGTGTGTAAGTTATAAGCATTATTGTTTTTCTTCCTTTCATTTACAAAAGGATAAGTGCATTAAAATTGTGATAATCAAGAATGTATTTCCTGCAGGATCTGAATCAACCAAAAGTCCGAGATAGATTCATTTACCTATAACATGAATATAAAAAAGCACATTACCTAAATCATAGCTTATATAGAGAAAGGTCGATCCATTACATTATAAGTGAGAAATATATTGTGAACATATATTTAGAGATTTGTATTAATGTTATGGATCTTCTAATATACCTTCTCTATAGCTTCCTCGCAGCCAAAAAGGCGTCAAACTCCTTAAAATAATATTCATCACGTTTTTTCCTTTCCGAGAGAAAGGCCTCATAGTAATCAGAGTGAGTCTCCATACACTTGTACACGGTGTCAAGGGCTTCCTGTTGACTATGGAAAGAGAGAGTGTTACTGTTCCTCGTATATTCTGCATCACGACGTTTAAAAGACCTTAATGGTTCTTTGCAAGGACCTCTCACGAACTCTGACGCCTGCTTAGCCCTTTCCTTTGGTTCTTTAGAGGGGTAGACGGGAATACGGTTCCTCTCCTCGAGTTCGTCAACTTTTTTCCACATCGCAGAAATCGGCTGATAGTAGTCAATGTGAACCTCCATACACTTTTTCAGCTTCAACCATTTTTCAGTACACTCAATTGTGTTCCCCTCGCAATCTTCATAAGCCGTAAATGATTCTTTGCAACCACCTCCTATCATGAACATGCGATATCGTTCTAGCTGTTCCTCTGACGGGCCTTGGTAATTTTGAGATTTGGGATCGAAATTTTCGTGTTTCAGATCCATGGGTGACATGGTCCTTATGCTGCCGTGCTGAGAGATCGGATCTTATGGAAATCGTATTCGCTTTTAAGTGTTTTACTCAACAAGCTATGTGTATTCTTCTTATTGGCAAGCCAACCAAAGAGGCATATTTATATATTCAAGGGCTTTGACCTTTTTCTTGCGACGCAAGGCTTTTACGAAAGAGAGAAAAGGAAAAATATATATATACAAGAGAAAGTTGAATATACACTAAAAGCGCAGAGAAAAGGTAAATATCCAAAAAAAAAACAAAAGAAGAAGATATCCACCAAATTATATGTGTAGTCGAAAACTTGATTGTCAAGCATTCTTTAATTAATACGAGAGGGTGACATTAATTAAGGTTAAAGCATTTTTAATACTATTAAGGCAAGGACTTTCATCAACCAGTCAAACTTTAAACGAGCTACTTATTTTCTTAAAGGGTATATCATATAAAACTCAATACTATAAAAGAATCATGATCATATAAGTAAGTAAAGTAACAACAACACTTAATACGTGAAAGACTTGAAATTTGCAAAAGAACGTGAAAGAAGGGAAGCTAAGCCGTCAGTGGGAAACCTTTCACAGCTAACAAGAACCAAAGACTTGAAATTTGCAAAAGAACGTGAAAGAAGCTCCAAGCTTTCATCTGTTACCACCATCCGCTTCAACCTCAGCTCCTCAAGTCCCACACGGCTCCTAGCCAAAGCATCAATCCAAGGAAGCACGAAACCTCCCCATTCATGAGGAACCAAGTTGAAATCAGCGAAATGAGGCTTCCCTTTAAGAGTTAAGGATTTGAGACATGGAAACCTCCCGATTAATCTCTCTGGATTGATGGCGTAGCAGTTTCCGATGAACACGTTCTTCCTACTAAACCTCTCGATCTTGTGCCATGATTTGCAGACCAGAGAGATCGAGTTCCTGTCTTTGTGAGAAGCTACGAAGTCAAACACGTGCTCTATGACCTCGTCTGGGAAATAATTCATCTTCCTCTATCGATTGCTGAACAGAGGAATTGACTTCAAGCTCAGCTCAGTGAAGCTTCACAAAATAGTTCCGGTGAACCTGAAGAATCTGCAAGATAGCCAGATTCAAATTACACAAAACAAATTTTGAAAATCTCGAGCTCGAAAAAAGAAAGAAATGAATTCAACAGATCCTGAAACTTTATAAACTAAACACAGAGATTAAGATTCAGATCTACATGAAAACAAATGAGCTAGATCTACGAGGAATGAGTTTGAAGACCTCGAAGCTTATGAAGCTACTAAAGATCGTCGTCTGAACCAAACTCGCTGATGATTCGATTGAAGAAGAAGAAGAATTGGAAAAACTCAACGAGTAAAACGTTGGAAAATAATGAATCTGGAGTTAGCTTCAAGTCCAATGATGATGAGATGATCAAAGATTTGGATGTGTGAGAGAGAGAGAGAGAGAGAGAGAGAGAGAGAGAGAGAGAGAGAGAGAGAGAGAGAGAGAGAGAGAGAGAGATCACGTAAGCAAAAAACCAGAAACTCTCTAACAATTTAACCAGAGGGAGAAGCTGCTAACCTAGCTGACCAAAAACTAACCATGGTTAAGTTTAATCTTGGTCATGTGGGATGATCCAACGGTGGAGATTGGTTCAATGGATAACCACAAAAGGAATCTTGACCGTTGAAGAGTGGTATGGTTATGGCTCACCACTGGTTCGCCAAAGAGAATGGGTGAAGTGATGCATTAGTGTCAGAGCAAGGGACATATAAATTGCCCTTGTCCTTTGATGTTATTACCAATTTGCCACGTAAAAAGCTTCCTGGCCAATAGGAAAATAATATGTTCCATACTGTTGATTTAATCGTTTTTTGATTATGTATTAATCTTTCACGGTTGTTAGAAAGTGCAACAATGTTAAAAAAGTATTCGTGAAAATGATTTTTGATGGGGAATATTGCAAAATCTACCACATTTTAACAACTGGCATTCAAAATCTACCACAATCTCAAAAAGCTTTCAAAATCTACCATATTTCAATAGCATATGTGGAATGCTGGACCAAAATACCCCTGATTGGGACAGAGTCTGTGTCAGGGACAGAGTCTGTGTCAGAGACAGAGACAGTTTTGTCTGGCGCTTCCAAAGAAGGAGCAGGTCTACAATAAATGCTGCACGGTTATTTAAATAATATGTTATATCATGGACAAATTCAGATCTAATGAGTAATATAATTAGATCATGGACAAATTCAGATCGAATGGGCGATATAATTAGATCGAGGACAAGTTCAGATCGAATGGGTAATAGAATTAGATTGGGGACAAGTTCATATCGAATGAGTAATAGAATTAGATCGGGGACAAGTTCATATCGAATTCAGATGGAATGGGTAATAGAATTAGATCGGAGACAAGTTCAGATCGAATGAGTAAGAGAATTAGATCGAATATGTTATATCGGGGACAAGTTCAGATCGAATGAGTAAGAGAATTAGATCGGGGACAAATTCAGATCGAATGGGTAATAGATATAGATCGAGGACAAGTTCAGACCGAATGGGTAATAGAATTAGATCGGGAACAAGTTCAGATCGAATGAGTAATAGAATTAGATCGGGGACAAGTTCAGATCGAATGAATAATAGAATTAGATCGGGGACAAGTTCATATCGAATGAGTAATAGAATGAGTAATAGTACTCGGGGACAACTGGATCTTTTTGTTATTTTGCAATAGAAGGAAAAAAAATTCAATAATCAGGGTAGGTGAAGACAATAATGTTCAACTAATCTGTAGACCAAAATAGATGGTGAAAAATCTAAATAAAATTCGAAACCCTTAAATGAGAACAATTGGTGGACAAGATGTGGAATTCATGATAATAGAGCAAGATGATGAAATCGGGGACAAGATCTAGACGCAACAGAGAATTTCCAATCGGGGACAAGATCTGGAGACAAAAACGAAAGTTAATTGTTTAGTCTCAGGAGATATAATGTTTCTTGGTTAAAATGCACGTGTTTCGAGGGAGAGAAAGATAAATAGAGAAGCTAATATTGTAGGGAAGATAAATAGGGAGGAGAGATAAATAGGGAGGAGAAATAATTAGGGAGGAAAGATAAAAAGGAAGATAAAAAGGGAGGGCAAAATGGTAACTCTACATCAAAATGTGGTATGAGTTGAAAGAAAAGAAGGAATGTGGTAGATTTTGAAAGAAATTGGGAATAAGTGGTAGATTTTGTAGTTTTTCCTTTTTGATGTGGATTAATTAATACTTTATTATTGATTAATTAAATAAAATACCGTATTTTTGATTCATTAGAAAGTGCAACAATAGGCAAATAAATAAAATCTATTTATTTAACCTAAATTCTTCAAGTTTTCCTCAAAATTTTATTTGTGTAGGTGATGTGACCAAACAAAAATTCAGCAAGAATTCCTCAAACTAATGTGACCACTTTATACTGATGTGCCTCGTGTATATTATTTTCTTTCTATTGCACTTTGATTGGCGATGAAGATCAATTTGGTGTGGGACACACCAAAAAAAAAATAAAAAAAAAAAAAAGGAAGAAAGAAGCAGAAAGAATAAAAGGGAAGAAGAGAAGACCACCGGGATGGTTGACAAAATAATTTCATGTCTTTTTCTGATTTTCGTATCTTTTTGTTTTTTTTTTTTTTTTTTTTTTTTGGTAAAAAACAAACTAAATTTTCGTATCTCTTTCTTTACGTTTCTTCTTCTATAGTAAAAAAAAAACTCACAACCTTCTTCTTTAACACCATCCCCTCACAATCACAAACAAGAAGAAGAAGCATAAAGCAGATTTCTTTTTTCTTTGTTTCTAATAATAATTTTAAACGAATCCTTCTAATAATATGGAGACGAGCTTGGCGATAAGAGGATGTGGGTTTGAAGTAAAAAAAAAAAAAATCTCATTTTTATAAACTCTGTTAATTGGATTTTTGTTTTAATATTTGATTTGTCTTAATTACTATGGTTTGGGAGATTTCCAATTTCATCTGCTTAATTTCCAGTAGATTAAAGCATTTTCCTTTTATCTCAATTTGGTACAATCTTGTTCTAATATGTTGCACGGTGATTCGGTGAAAGCTTATCTTCTTGAGACTACTGTAGAAGCAATGGTTTGGCTGACTTCAATGGACCGACCAGTTGATTGATTGATGATGCTCAAGATTTTGCTTCAGCAATGCGTCTTGTTCTTCAGCTTATGATAATGATGGTTCAGTGGAGGATATGAGATTCAAGAAGATTTACAAACCATTCGGAAATGGTTTCTAGTTATCTCTGTTCTATAATCTTGAACCAAAGTTGAAGCTCAAAATTAATATGAAAAACGTTTTTTTTATTCCCTAACTTTCAATTCTTTCAAAAGGCTGAACTAGCTATGGCATTTTTATTTGTTCCTTGAAATTCACAAGTTTGATAAAGGCCCAAACATATTGAAGGCAGATCAAAACAAGCAAGTTTGAGCATGTATAACTTGAATATGAGCCTAAAACAAAAACCAACATGAACCATAGAGAGAGGTCCACGATGGTCCGGGTGGAAGGAGTGGAAAATGGGAGGAGGCTAAAGAATCCTAACACATGCCAGTGCATCTTTTCTAGTCCCAACCACACTGTTTGGTAGAGGTATAATTTGCAACCAAAAAAAAAAAACATGATTTAGAACCGAAGAATTAAAACTTTTCGTCCCATCCTAATCTTTCTCCATAATCAAATACCAAAGAAGAACATCTAAACAATAATTAAATTCAACTTGAGATTCTCACATATACATTCGAAAATGGTTTCTAGTTGAAGAAATGACCGAGAGTTATCTCTGTTCTATAGTATTTAACCAGCGTTATCTCTGTTCTATAATATTGAACCAAAGTTGAAGCTCAAGATCGAATTTTTTTTTGGAAGAGTCGTCGATGATGATGGTTTAGTGAAGGATATGAGAGTAAGGAGATTGTAGAAAAAGCCTAACTTTCTAACAGAGAAGAACACATACCAATTTCTCCAAAATAAACTCAGAAATTCGAGCCAAATTTTTGTTTTAGAAACAACACCCAAATTTCAGAAACAAACAGGACAATCCAGATCTTAAGATTCTAAGTAGCAGCAGCAAAGACCCATAAAGACAACCGAACATTAGACCAAAAACGACACGTCAGAAACGGAAACGACCGGACATGACCAGATCCGCCGGTCGTAAAATCCCAAAATTGTTCCGACAACCGAAATTTAAAGAAACTTAAAACCAAACCTAGATTCAGCGGCGAGGAGGGAGAGTACTCGCCGAGCCCATGCAGGAGCTCCTGTGTAAAAACCTGTCGCCAAACTTCCTCAACCACGAAGTCTGAGCACTCTCTTCTTCCGCCGGCTTCTCAACCGCCTCAGCTCTCTCCGGAGTCGGATCACTGATATCTTCTTCCGCCGGCTTCTCAACCGCCTTAGCTCTCTCCTTCCAAAACTTCACCTTCTCCCAGGCTTTCTTCCCCTCTTCTGCAGCAGTCATCACCTTGTCAATAATCTCCGCATCTCCCTTTTTTTGGATATACTTCGAGGCAAAACGTCCCACGTTCCGTGCACCATTTCGGATCGCCGACCACATCTTTACCAAAAAAAAAAATCCATAGAATCAGTCCAAGATATATAGAGAGAGAGAGAGATAGAAGAGAGAGAGAGAGAGAGGAAACGATCCAAACCTTGTTTTCAAAGCTTGAAGACGACAATGGAGGTTGTAGACGACGATGGAGTGTTACAGTGCGCAGTGCTCTAGCATTAAATGAAGAGAGAGTCTCATATTAATATGTAAAAGAGAGAGACCCGATTGGCCACACGTGTCTCTATTTTTTTTAAACGGTTGTGATAAATAATTTTTTTTTTTTTTTAACTAATGATTTAGAAAAGTGATTTTCTTCTCTTGTTCTATTTTCATTGAATTTATTTGTATCACAAAATATTTTTATACACTACTCTAAAAATAATTCCAATCCCCTATTTTGTGATTTTTTTTTTTCATATTTAAATTCTTAAATCATAAGCATTGCCATATTTTTTATATCTCATGGTTCAAAGCTTTTTGTTTTTATCGAAAACCTCGAGTTTCATGTTTCTCAGGTCGATAGTTTTATAGCGACTCTAATTTTTTCTTAGATCAAAACATATCAATTTGGTTCTCTTCTGAGAGGGACGGGGTTCATGTCAATTTGTGAAAATTTATTTGAACTCGAACATGGAACCGAATATTTTTGGAAACCAAACAAAAAAAAAAATCTCCTGCAAACCTCGAAAGTAATATGTATTTATTATTTGATTGTTTTTAATTGATTTTTTGGACATTTATTCGGATTTCCATATGTTATCTGAAACAAACTTAATTTTTTTTTTTATCGGTATCATCTGAATCTACTAGAACCAAACAGTTGTTTCAAACTCTAAAGTACCTGAAACAACTGTTTGGTTCTCAATTTAGTTTGGATTAGGATTTTGTTCTTCAGATCTAGAAGTCTAAATCCCCTACAAATATTTTTACAGTCTAAATTCGAATTCAGATTTATTTTTTTGGGTTTGGTTTTGAATCGAATATCTGATTCTGGATCTTTTAGTCCATGCCTGTTTTATTTACTTAAAATATTATAGTACTATGTTATGTTAATGTTATTTTTTTTCCAAACTTTGTAATTCGTCCTCATTGTCACTTTTATTCAATAAAAGCCAAAACGGTGTGCAAAGGTTAGTTGATCAACACTTTGTTTTATTGCTTGGAGAAAAAGAAAAACATTCCCAGATTGGAAAAAAACATTCGAAGTGGTCCCCACATAACGAATTTCGGACCCTCGCTGATGAGGATAATTTACCTCTTTACCCTCTCCTTTTTCTGTACACACACATGCTACATCTTTCTTTGTTAGCTAGCATTAGCAACAAAATATATTATTACGCTAAGATTGTCTCATATATTCTCATAAAGCATAATCGTTTAACGAACAAGGATGATATAATTAAAAACAAATTTTATGGATGATACACAGTGAAAAATGTGTATCTTTTTTAGATCGAAAAAATGTACCATCATCATTATTGCATGAACAATTTTTTTTTTTTCTTTTTTTTATACAATCATATAAAAAAAATTCAATTTGGTTTGGGCCACTTTAACGGTTTTTTGCAAAGGATGATAGCTTTGCATGAGGACCACATAAACAACAAAAAAAAACACTCGAGTCTTTGCGATTGATGGGGTCTCTCTCTTGCTCTCTCTACGTGTCCATGTGGGGGTAACCACAACAAATAAACAAAAACGCATCAACTCCATATCTCTGTGTGTCCTCGGATGGAGCGAAAACCAAAAGTAACTTTTCACACCGGGGAACTTGTTGTAGAAATAGGCTTTGTAACTCCGGGAAGTAACGAATGTGAACTTGGATAATGATTGAATCGCGCACGTGAGCACTTTCCTTAAAGAGTATTTCGACCCTTATTAAGCCTTGGGTTACACGAAATCCCTTGTAGGATAAGACAATCAAAGTTCTCTCTTGTTCTAGGCAAAGATACAAGAGAAACAAATAGAGATTATGTGTTTTGTTTATGTGTTTATCACCAAAGATTCTTTCAATCTTTGATCTTGTGAAACTCTCGTGCTCTGTCCTTCTATCTCTCTATTGACACAAGAGAAACAGAGTTTTATAGTGATCAACGGTGTTCACATACGTTTGCAACCGTACGTTTAATATAATAACCGTTTGTACAAAAAGGTGCGATGGTTGGTGAATAACCGTCGATGTACGTACACTAACTGTCGATGTACGTACACTTAAATATCCAACATTCGTGAATAACCGACGATGTACGTACACTTAAATATCACGTACACTTAAATATCCAACATTCCTCCCCCATTTAAGTGTAATCTTTGATTCACAAAATTAACAACACGTAAACCAAACTCATGCATAAATGTAAATATCGTAACGATTGAATTTACATCTTAGTGATATTATACATTCCAAATGCTCGAGAATCAGGATGTCCTACGGATTGAATCGTTCAACTCATTTTGAGCACATGAAGATAATACACACACGAATTAACTCACTACTCTAAGTGTTTATCCTTGACACTATTATAAGCCATGTGTCCTTATCCATTCATGAGCGTATACAAAGCCAAGTCCGAGCTTCTTGAAGCGGCTACACTTCACACCCATATAGGTAGATCTTTTAATCTTGCACCTGCAAAATGCAATTTTTCAAAAGATCTATTAAGAAGAAAACTTCAACCTAACCTTTTCTTGCAGATCCAAGCACTTACTTTGGGATGATATAAATCAGTGCTTCAATCTCTAAGTGTGGGCTTTCCACATTGAATTCAGCCTCTAACGTTGTATTAGAGGGGAATTGGGTATCCCACCATTAGAGATTTCAAATGGACTTTAATCCCATCCCTTTAGCCGACTTGATCACCAAGTCTCTAGCTAATCCTTTTGTCAAGTGATCCGCTAGATTATGTTCAGACCGAATAAATTCTAAAGTAATCACCCCATGAGTGATCAACTCACGTATCCCGCTATGTCTCAAGCCTAGGTGTCGCGACTTACCATTATACACTTGGCTATAGGCCTTAGCCAAAGTAGCTTGACTATCGCAATGGATAGAAATGGGTGACACTGGTTTCGGCCACAATGGAATCTCGGAGACTAGGTGTCTTAACCATTCCACCTCTCTCCCTGCAGCCGTTAACGCTACAAATTCCGATTCCATAGTAGAATTTGTAATACAAGTTTGTTTATTTGATGCCCATGAAATGGCACCTCCCCCAAGTAGAAACACCCAACCACTTGTAGAAGAATGATTTTCCTCGTTGGACCATAAGACCGAAGGAAATCCAAAATATGACAAACCATAATTTATGGTTCCTTTCAAGTACTTGAGCACCCGCCTTACAGCTTGCCAATGATGAGTACTAGGATTACTAGTGTATCTACTCAACTTTCCTACCGCAAAAGCTATATCCGGTCTAGTGCTAGTCATGACATACATTAAGCAACCAATTACTCGTGAGTTTTAAAACCACTTTGCCTTTCCCTTTTATCTTTGTGGTACTTGCGTTTCCCATGTACAACTTTTCTCCACCAGAGCCATGTACGTACATTGAGAACATACTCGCATCAGAACACACATGCTTTGTAGCACCAGTGTCAACCCAACAATCATTGGAGTTTGTCATCATGTTTGCTTCGGAAACGACCGCAACAAACTGATCTTCGACAAGGTTCGCATTACTTGCATCTCCAATCGATGTTCCTTCCTTCTTATGACGGCAGTCCTTGGCCCTATGTCCAAGCTTTCCACAAAGGCGGCAACTTGTCTATGATGCACTACACCGAGATGGATTCATCCATCTACATGTTGTATTAAGGGAATTGGCCTAGAAATCATCGAGAAACGATTCTCATCAAATATTGCATCTCTTGACTCAATTACGGTATGAGCCGCTATAGAATCATTAGGTTCTATGACATAAAACCTATATGTCCTTATAGTCCTTTGGTCTGGAAAGCGGATCAGAGAGAGGAAGTAAGCGCATCAGTTTGGCCGAGAATCGGTAGATCCTTGCGGATCCTCCAATTCCTTGCCGAGCCGCATCCCCGTCTCAACCAAACCGTTACTCCATACAAAGCATCCACGATATGAATATGCTCATGAATGACTAAGCCGATCAACGAACTAATCAAACACCCCGCAATATTCTAGCCCTTAGATCATCCGCACGTCCGGAGATCGTAATCTCCGACACATTACCACGGCTTTACACCCACTTAAGTTGCTTCCTTGTCTCCTCCACACACTCGTTCTCAGCATTCTCTGACACGGTGGGCATTGGCACACTTAGAACATGCACCACATTTAGCGTTGTGAGGAGAAAGTGCATCTTCTTTTGTCATCTTCTAAAATCAACTACTTCAAACTTATCCAATTTGCCAAACTTTGATGTCATCTCACGCACAGAAACATTAGCCATTGTTCACCGTAAATACTCTTTAAGATTGTTGTAGAAATAGGCTTTGTAACTCCGGGAAGTAACGAATGTGAACTTGGATAATGATTGAATCGCGCACGTGAGCACTTTCCTTAAAGAGTATTTCGACCCTTATTAAGCCTTGGGTTACACGAAATCCCTTGTAGGATAAGACAATCAAAGTTCTCTCTTGTTCTAGGCAAAGATACAAGAGAAACAAATAGAGATTATGTGTTTTGTTTATGTGTTTATCACCAAAGATTCTTTCAATCTTTGATCTTGTGAAACTCTCGTGCTCTGTCCTTCTATCTCTCTATTGACACAAGAGAAACAGAGTTTTATAGTGATCAACGGTGTTCACATACGTTTGCAACCGTACGTTTAATATAATAACCGTTTGTACAAAAAGGTGCGATGGTTGGTGAATAACCGTCGATGTACGTACACTAACTGTCGATGTACGTACACTTAAATATCCAACATTCGTGAATAACCGACGATGTACGTACACTTAAATATCCAACATTCGTGAATAACCGACGATGTACGTACACTTAAATATCACGTACACTTTTTTTGTCTATCTGAAATTTGATTAATTAAACTTATGGTGGATTTGATTTGATTATTCAACATTTTCCGATCCAAATAACATTATGATAGAATCTTGTAGTTAGTGTAGTGGAGTATACTATATAACAATAAGGTCTGTTTGTGTGTTATATGGGGATTTTGATGTCAGGGAAAGTGCATGTTTGTTTCCTTAATTAACTAGTAGTAATCATTTAACAGATCAATCTATAGTAATAAAAAACAATGAAAGCTGTTTTTTTATAACCCTCGAATATACTTATATAGGGACGATGCTTTTTGAATCCGGCCTAACAAACAACAAACCTAGACTATCGAAACCACGTGTCATGTCTTTACTGGTCACACTCTTTGTCTTTAGAGGTTTTAAGTGTTTTGTCCTGTAGGATCTCAAAAAACACAAAATGCACTCGCGCTATTTATTTGCTGCTAGTTGCTCCTTCATCAACCACGTGTCATTCTTTTACTGGTTGAAGGCTCCATTAACCATAAACTTGTGGCACAATTAGTAGTCTTCTTAGGACAAACGCAGAAGCCAAAAAGCGTTGAACAACACATATTAGGAGTCGATTGGTTTAGTCATAAAGTGTCACATTTACCAGTGATTGTAGTTGCACAGTTTAACAAGACCTCAACCCAAATGAGACGACAATTTTATTTACGTCAGACGACCATCCGCGATAAGAGTAGTGCAGCTATCTGGGAAACAGTTCAGCCATTGACCTCTATGATCATCAATTTCATTCTCTTGCAGATCCAGTTCACGAAGATGCCTAATAAGAAAGACAACACATTTTATAAACGACTTAAAACGTCGAGAAACGCCAGTTAAAGAAAGGCCGTTCACCTGCAATTAGCAGCAATGGAAGCTAAGCCGTCAGTGGTAAACCCTTCACACCTAACAAGAACCAAAGACTTGAAATTTGCAAAAGAACGTGAAAGAAGCTCCAAGCTTTCATCTGTTACCACCATCCGCTTCAACCTCAGCTCCTCAAGTCCCACACGGCTCCTAGCCAAAGCTTCAATCCAAGGAACCTGTCAGACCGCCGTGCGACCACCCATACCACTCTTCAACGGTCGTGCGACCAAAGCTGCTAAACCTGGCTAAGATTCTAGGGTAAAGTTTTGATCGCACGGTCATGATTCATCAACCAGGGTTAAGGGCCTGTCTCCTTAGAAATCAAGGAAACAGAGGTACGAGCCTATAGAACAGATCCTGTTCAAGTAAGGTCGTGACCATCTGTCTTCTGTGTCCATATATAAACTAGTTGTTTTTCCGCTGGCTTTTCGATGTGGGAACTCTTATTTCCACACTTGACCAACTATCTTATGACACGTGTAATTAATCATTTAGTAAAGGAATTGTTTATTGAAATCTGAGATCCAAGTTTCCTAAGTAGTAAGTACCATAGGCTTTTTGAGTTTACCTTTAGATATGCAATGGTTTCTAATACAGTACAATGCATTACATCATAACATCTAATTCAGCTGTCCATGGATATGCAATTACAAAAGAACCGATTACTTACATACAGAACCTATTCAAAACGAGCAAAAAGAAAAAATGGTGTTTAGCTTCAACAACCAAAGGCTGTGATGATGCCTTAGAGATTCCTCTCGTGTGGCTCGAGCCAAGGAAATCCTAAGAAATCGAACACTTGTTTCTCCGTTGAGAGTTTCAGACTTGCAGTTCCTCTAGCACCCTGAGAAACAAACATTATCACAGCTTCAACATTATCATTCTTTCACTTTAAAACTCAAACATTCACATCAAGTTATTGCTCCCTAACTTACCCGGTTACCGCTAGAACTGTGAGTAGCTGGGAACAGTCCAGTGTCATCAAGTCGATATCCTTTGGATTCTGCTAGCAATCTCAGCCTGCAGTTTCCATCAAATATAAATATTTGGGTTCTTTCTTTGCTAACAATGTATTTGGTGACATGTATACAGATTATATTCATACCTTCTGTTCAACACGTCGTTCCCTGTCCAAGCTATGAGTCCAAATGCATAGATATCCCTTGGATAAACCTGTGTTAAAAGACTAGTTATTGAATGATTTGCTGGGAAGAAATCAACCTAGACATAGCTGAATCAATCATGGTGTTTTCCTTTTTATCTTTGATTAACCCAACTTAGTGCTTTTTTGCATTGTGTGAGTTGTTTTCAGGTGTTACCTTAAAATCGATATGGCGCCGTAGCTCCTGACCAGGATAAGTGCACAGGCCAAAATAAGTGTCAACGCCTGAATCAGTACCCTGCACAATAAGGGTAATCATTGAGGAGAACTGTATGACATTTTTGTTACACATGCAACTCCGAGAGAACGAAGCTTTATCTAATGGTAAAAGAGAGCATTTTATAAGATATTGAAACAATTGAAGGAATGTGGTTTTGACGAAGATGAGATCCTCTCTTACACAATTTTGTAAGATCATCTTACCTCTTCACTGTGGGTGCTGAAGATGAGATCTTCTCTTAAAAAGTTTATTTCTTTTAAACGCTTTACAAACTTTGTCAAAAATCCCTTGTGACTGGTCAGGAAAATAAGAAAAGACAGTTTAAGTAAACTTTGCTACTGGAAACTAACGCAGGAAGATGAGGGACAGAGATTGTAGGTACCTTTGTCCATCAGGATGTGTGATAACTATATCTAGATTGTAGGTACAAGTAGCTTTCCCACGTCTATATGATCCTCCACATACAATATTCACCTGCAGTAAAGATGTTGGTTAGGATTTCATTAAACTTTCATCACCCAAATATGGAGCAAACCGATAAACTGAATAGTTCATACACCAGGCAAAGTTTCCTCGCCGACTCTCTGTAGAAGTTGTTCCACCTCTTGCACCTACAATACAGAAAGTGAAGAAATATGAGGAGAAAACTACATGAAGGATAATAAAGACAGCCAAAATTCACGTTGAAGTCTAAGAACCATACCTCGTGACGTGGAATTCTTGTTCTGATATCATCAAAATATTTCAACCCCAACCTTTGTGCATGCGTTAGTGAATCCTCGTTCTTCAAGTCTTCTAGTGTGCGATGTCCTTTCTCATATAGCTTGAGTGCAGTCGCAGGACTGATACCCCAAACTTCCCCGAACAAACTGATTGTACGAACCTTCAATCATAGTAATGAAACATTTAAAGTGGTAAACAAACGATATCAGACATCTCTAGCTCCATGTCATTGACAGTATTTTTCTTTAAAGAAAAAAGGAACTAGAGAAAACCAAATGGCCTCTACATGTGAGCTTGTATTTAATTGAAAATGGGAGATAGCACAATAACTATAACCAAGGACTTCAAAATTACCTTCTCATCTGTTTCAAAATGTTCAAGCTTGGACAACTTCCCTGTTGTCACAATCTCTTGAATCTGCCAAACTCAGGTAGAAGAATAAAACTTTGTTCTCACAGAAGTACATCATAAAATGTTATAGGTAGGTACTAGAAAAGGATAAGTTTTTGCAATTTTGACACCCACAAACACAAACCTACACAAAACATTTGAAACATTTCTCAACTTACATGATCTCTCATTGCCTTTCCAATTCCAGGGAAGTGTTTGAGCTGATCAACGCTTTCAATCCTAGTGGGGAACTTTTCAATGATGGGGATAGCTTTGTAATAGCTAAAGGACCGTCTATCTTCACCCAAAGCTTTTGAAAGAAAAGAAAGAGTTTTGTTACTTACTTACTATAAGAGAGTAGTATAGAATATAAACACCAGAGATCGTACCTCTATATATGTTAATTAGCTTTCCAAATATCTCAAGTGATATTTCTGTTCAAATCGGGTGGTTTGTACACCGATGTGGACTATAATTCGTTAAAGTACTAATTTATCGAAATGAATTAGTGAGATCATCTCATTGAAAACTATAATAAATAAACACTAGTTACAAGGAAAAGCCCATAAAGAGATTTTTTTATTATATCGAGCTGATTGTATAAGATTATATATTAAAACGGTAATGGTGTTGATACCAGTCATTAAAAAGTCATATTTTATCTTTACTTTGTTATTGAGAATACGTAAGCTACCTACAAATATTCATTTTTCTAAAATTATTATATATATAAAAAAAAACAAGTTTTGAGATACTAATGGGGTGTTATTGGTTTGTGATTTAAATAGAGTTTTAATGACTTTAATTGTTATGTAGAATCTGTTGTTATTCGATCAAGATTTTGTTAAACTCTCTTAAAATTTGGTGTTATTAGTTTGTGACTTGTAAAAAATCATTTAAAATCCTAATGAATATGGTGTTATTGGATTAAGAGTTTTATAAAGTCATTAAAAATTTTGTGTTATTCAACTAAAACAAAACAATCTATGATTGTTAATGACTTTAATTATTGTGTTATTGGTTTATGATTTTGGACACTTTTCTTTACAAAATAAAGTCATGGAAAGTATGATTGAAATATTGAGATTGTTTAGGAGACTTTACAAGATTATAGAAAACTAATCAACAAGACTATTGAAAACTCTCTAACAATTCTTCTAAATCTTTCACTTTTTCACTTTCTATGATTTTATTAAAGTCATCAAAACTCCATTTCAATCACAAACCAATAACACCCCCTTAGTTTGTTATTGGTTTGTGATTGAAATGAAGTTTTAATTATGAACCATACAACATAATATAATATTAGTACACAAATAAACTTATATATTACAAATGTATATCCACAAGGATCGTGTAAATATGGGAAAAACGTTATTAAAACGACAATGCAATCTACATGTTCATACAAATAAACAGTTCCTCTCGTTGACATTTTGGATTAGGTGTAACAGAAAACTATAACTGAAATCTCAAATGGCTAAGGATTTGGATATTATAATTGTTTTCATAATATGGTTCTTACAAGTTACAACTCATAAATTAGATTATACGGATAAAAAAAAAGGAAAACGGACAAAAAAAAAATCCAATCGAACAGCTTTAAATTAAGGAATTTTGATGGTTCTTTATTACAAACTTGAAACTAATTAATTTTGAATTTAACAGATTATGTACAAGTATAGTAGTATTTAGGAAAAAAGATACCTAGCTACACGAAATATGGTACAATACATGGCCACACATCCGAAGTTTAAAAATGTATCACTAACTACACAAACTATATGTATCGCATGCTCACATATACGAACTATATGTAGTCATGTCGCCAACATCACGAACATTTTTTTCTGGTACACTTTTCGCCGGAATCCGGCATTGACCAGTTTGACCGGCGTTAACCAACATAAATATTCATTTTTTTTTAAAGAAAATTTTTGTAAAATATTTAAAATTTATTTACAATATTATATAAAAATTTTATAATTAAAAATTTATTTATAATATTATGTTATTATGATTTATTTAAATTTTGGTAATTTTTTTTTGTAAATTTATTTAAAATTTTTTTAGAAAATTATGTTATTGAATCATTTATAATATTATATAATTAAAAAAATATATACAATATTCAATATAAAAATATTTTGTATATATATTCAATGCATTGATTTTTATAATTAGTTGGTTACGATAATTTCAAAACTAAACTAAAAATAAAATAAAAACCAATTAGGTAAAATAATTGTAAATATGAAATTTTCTATACTCTCTAGTCTAAAGTTTTGTGTATAATATGTTGTTAATTTTTGTATATAAAATTATTACGAAAAATTCTTTTAATAATACAAAAAAAATTAACAACATATTATAAAAAAAAATTTAGACTAGAGAGTATTTAAAATTTTCTATAGAGAGATTTGAGACTTCTCGCGGGCGAGAGGAAAGAAAAAATAGACAACGAATAACTCATGAGTAATATACGCCAAAAATTGATAAAAAACCATATAGCAAATAGACATTGTTTAGTTAATATTATTTTCTTAATTTTTTTTTTTAGTTTTACGTTATTTAATGGATATTCTCTAATTCCTTATAAATTTTGTCTTTTTTTTTTTTTTTTTTGAGGATTTCTCATATTGTCACAATTTTGTTTTACATCTTACCCACATTGAAATTAGAAGCCCACATTAAAATTAGAAAGTGTTATACACTCTTCCGATGGATGTTGATAATTTATTAAAATTCAATAATATATATATATATATATATATATATATTACTGTGCTTATAATATTTTGAATTTATCAATTTTTATAAATATTTATTAAATATCATTCTATAACATATAATAAACAAAAATACAAATAGTATTTTATATTACACATTATGCACAAATAATATTTTAAAATTAAATAAATATAATAATAAAAATAAAAAATAAAAATAAAAATAAAAATTAAAATTTAATATAAAAATTAAAATTAAAAATGACAATATCGACTGGTAACCCGTGCAACACACGAGTCCATATCTAGTATATATATATATACTCCAAACAAAGTATTAGAGCAAGTCCGGTATTTGATTTATACCGTGTGAAATCGAACTGGTTATAGAGGAAGGATTATTGAACCGGGTTTTCTTTCCAAAGATACGAAGAACTTAACTAGGCCTACATCTATCATTAGTTAAGTTTATTACATTAAAAAAGGCTCTAACTCTCGTATTTCATGAAGGAATAATTGACATATAACTTTTGATTACACATATAACTTCGTGGATATCTTCTTCTTTCTATTTTTGGAAATGCGCCTTTAATTTAGTGTATATTTATTTACCTTTCTCTTCTTTATTGTATTTCTTTTTTTCTCTTCTGTAAAAGCCGTGAGTTGCAAGCAAGAGCTCAAATCCCTTGTATATAAAAATACTGTATATGCGTTTTTGGTAGGCTTGTCAATAAGATCGAATACACAAGGCTCTCTGCCTAAAACCATTTCCATAAGATCCGATTTCTCTCACGGCATTGGGGAACATGTCATCCACGGATCTGAAACCGGAGAAGTCGGATCCCAAATCTCAAAATAACCAAGTCCCGTCAGAGGAACTGGGAGACTCGTCAAGTGATAATTGGCGATATCGATTCCAAGATTTCATGGAAGGAGGTGCTTGCAAAGAATCATATCTGGATTATCATTATTGCTTTGATGAAGAGGAGCCCAAGTATAAGGAAGTACTGGAGAAATGTATGAACGCTCACTCTGATTACTATGAGCCCGTTCTCGCACTCTTAGAGACTTGTAAGGAACAATTGACAAATGATATAGAAGCCATCTTCCTTCCGTCAACCATTTTGGATCAAACAAAAGAAGGAGACGCAGAGAGGGAAGAGATGCTAGAAGAGAAGGTTCTAGCATTCATGAAAGGAGGTGGTTGCGAAGAACAATGTACGGCTTGGAGGGATTGCTTTGAGGAAGCTGAGAAAAACAAGGAAGATGTCGACATTAAGTGTGCGGGAGTCCATGCTATGTGGTTCAACTGTATGGATGCTCATTCTGATTACTTTCATCCATTTCTCGCGCCCCTTAAAACTGCTGGAGAAGACTTTGAAAAGAAGCTCGAAGCCTTTGTCTCTCCGAAGCAAGCTGACTAAAGGATTTTAGGTATACGTACGGAAGCAAGATGAGAGATGACTAAGAGGAATTTTTGGTTTTTTTTATTAAGGTTTTCTTTGTTTGCAAGGAATATCAATATTACATTTGGGGATCAATTGTTAGCGTTTCCATATGAATGAATGAATACTCTTTACCCTTATTTATTTATATATATGATTCGAATAATTTGCTCTATATAACTAAATGTCATGACTTTGTTGATGCCCACTTTAGAATCCAATTTGTGCTTATAATTCTTAAAATGTTCGAAGACCTATATAGCTTTTTCGTTAGGCGCATTATCTGTCCATACTTTGGAATCTTGTAATTTAGGTACGGTTTATAAAAGTTACGGCGGTGTGTGAAATGACAAATTAGGGAAATATAATATCACTAACAAGATTCTTTGACAGCAGTGCAAAATATCAAGGGGCAGAGGAATCATCAGAAATAGAAAACAGCTTGATTCAGACGCAAGAAGCAAGGCCAGAGCCTGAGAACGTAGAAAAGGAAGTTGGAGAGCGGAGCTATGGAATCATCAGAGATAGAAAATAACTCAATTCCAACGGGTATAGAGACAAACTAATACCATTTTCAATTAGTCTAACTTGGAGCTGATTCTTATGTTTGTTGTTTCATCAAGAAATGCAGCTTGATAGCGAGATGTCCTCGGGATCCTCTGAGGAGAAGACCATTAAAAGCGATCGACTCAAGAGAATTCCTTCGAAACCAATTTTCTCAAACCATCGTAGAAGCTTCTTTACAAGGGAAACCACAAAGGTTAATTCTGGTTTAGTATCTTGATTTTCAAGGAATTGTGCTTTCTTTCTCCTTTTTTTTTTCCAGTTTTGACTGACTGGTTGCTTTTGTTATAGATTAGACCCGTCTTCCGTGGAGCCATCAGTTTCAACCAAAGGACAACCGTTAATCGTGAACTATGAAGGCCGTCAGGTCTCTGTTGAGCTCAAGGGCCCTCCTACCAGATCGTCCTTGGAGGTTCAGAACTAACACTCTTTTACTATTTATTCGTTAATAAGATAAGAGGCATATGATCAACTCTGTTTTGTGTGATTTTTATAGGAAAATGATTGGAATAAGGCAGAGTCTCTAGTTAAAACAGAATTACGAGCAGATGTTGAGCTAATAAGTTCAAGCACTAGAGGATTTGCTGTAAGTAAGATTTGTACTCATTTTCTAGTTTCATCTCTTTCTTGTTTACTAATATGTATTCTTTTCTATTTAAACCCTTTTTACAGGTTTCCTATGGATCTTTGATCGGATTTTTACCCTACCGGAACCTAGCAGCAAAATGGAAATTTCTCGCATTTGAATCATGGTTAAGAAGAAAAGGTGTAGATCCATCACTGTATCGACAAAACCTTGGGGTAATCGGAGGTCAAGATGTCACAAGTAAAGCTCCATCTCCAGATTCAAGCTTAGATTCTGAAGTCGCTACATCGATCAACGGAGAAGTTTCTTCTGATATGAAGCTGGAAGATCTTCTTATGGTATATGACAGAGAAAAGCAGAAGTTCCTGTCATCTTTTGTTGGCCAGGTTTGTCAAAAAAATCTGTAACTTTTATTATCATACATGGAAATGCTTGTTTTTCCTCCCTAAACATTTCAACTCAATGCAGAAAATCAAAGTGAATGTTGTTATGGCTAATCGAAACTCAAGGAAGCTTATATTTTCGATGAGGCCGAGAGAAAATGAAGAGGAAGTTGAGAAAAAACGAAATCTTATGGCTAAGCTTCGTGTTGGGGATGTTGTGAAATGCTGCATCAAGAAAATTACCTATTTTGGTATTTTCTGTGAGGTACTACGCCGGAGTTTATCATATCTTTGTAGTAACTTCTTGCTAATAGACCCACAAGAACAGAAACCAACGGAAACAAGTTTTGGTTGTGTGATCAGAACAAGTTGATTTGTGATTCATATCAATGTAGTCTTCCCCCTTAAGGCATCTTTTCTGCAGTTCTTAACCATATGTTAAGCTCAAACCAAGCCTGTAATCCTTGTTCTTATGATCTAAACTTGCAGATAGAAGACACTCCAGTCCCATATTCATTTCTTTTTTAAGAATTGCAGATGCAACACCGTCAGAATCAATCATTCCCTGGACACTAGACTAAAACAAAAGCTCAACTTATTAGAATTAAAACGGATTTATAAAGAATTTGTTTTCAATTCCATTATAATCTAAAAATTACCAATATTACCAGTCTAGAAATGTCCCATTCATATCCAACACTAGTTTTAACATCTCTTGAAAAGCAATCGTATACAAAATCAGTGGCAAGTGAAACCTGATTATGAGCAAAAAGATACATGTGTCATGATTATTATCTCATCTCTACCGAGTTTTAAGAAAAAAAATGAGAAAAGTGCATTACCTTTTTTGAAATCTTTTGAACATAGGTCATAATTACTCTACCAATGCTAACAACTTTAGCAGAGGCGACCTGTTAATAAAGTTAATAAACAGTAAAAAGCATTCAACAACATAGAATTTGGCTGCATGTAGCAATCCACCCATTCAATATGTGTTCAACTAGGATCACCCTGTACTTACGACCTCTACCTAATTTACCATGTACTCTTCTTCTTCTTCCGAATCCCACCAAAACTATAAAATTCTACCTAATTAACTAAATTCAATTAATCTATGTAATTGCGATTAAAATCAATAATTCGCTTCACTATTACGTTTTTAGAGCTACCCGATTTTAAAATCTTGACTCGGCCAAGCTTTTCAATGTGTTGTTAACATGTTGTAAATTAGGGTAACTATAAAATATGATCCAAATTTCCTATGAATTGAGTTTGTGAGCTATCTAATAAAGTGATAGGGAAGAAACATTACCATCCTATCGGTCTCGTATCTGGCAGCATAACCTACACCCGACTCTTGAGCCATACTGGCCCAGAAGAACTCACCACCCAAAGATAGACGAGGTGTCACACGCTGTACAGAAAATTGCTATCAACAATTAAAAAAAATCAACGTTTACAGTAAAATATGATGCAAATAGTCTATTCTTTTTCTTTTGTATTTGTGAGCTAATTGTCATTGATGTATTAAAATGCTCATAACACAGCAAATCTACTTGAATATATGTTGCTCCAATAGCGCTATTGCTCCCGAGTTGAAATTGAGCTCTGTAGTTTAGAGCCTACAGAAATGGTAGCAAAAAAAAAAAAGAAGTGAAAGAAACTATTAAGCAAAACGTCATCACAAAGGTAGCAAATATTCTTATAGAGATAATTTCCTCACCAGGTATTCAAAGTTGACTTGTGCCTGGTACAAGTGTGTATTTCTCAGCTGGAAAAGAACGTAAGAAAACACATTTTATCACTGATACACCATAGAATAATCACATTATCTCTAGTTGCAAAACTTACCTCAGTCTTTGCATGCACAATCAACTTATCAGTTATATCGGCTTGCATTCTCGCAGATAGGTCACCATGAGAATTAACAGTTCCATAAAACGACAGCTGCAACAAAACATTTATCTTATGATTTCCATAAAGAAACAAAAATATTAAATAATCCAATAATTCGTCTTTGATTTATTTTTCACATAAAACCTTTTGGTCTAAGTAGTAGGCACCAAGCTGATAATGGTCTGGCCCCATCGTTGAACTGTTTGACACAAGAATAAACGTGCTTAACGAGAAATACCAAAAGAGAAGGACAAAAATTGTGTGCAAATATGACTGTAAACATAAACACAATCACCTGATATGAAGCTTTTCATCAAAAAAGCCGGGGCAGTATGCTAAATATAAACCCCTGAAATAATCAGGGTTTAAGATGTCTGCACAGAAATAAAACTGGTTACAAGAGTTGACGAATGACTTTTGACTATGCTGTTCGTTTGGCAGTAGCAGGAACATGCGACTAATCGCGCGATCAATCGCTGCGACTTGCGATTGATTTTTTTTATCGCAAGAAAAAATTAGCGATGCGAGTTTTTAAATAGCGATTAATCGCAGCAACCAGTCGCGCGAATTGCTAAACGAACATTATCCTGCAATTCAAAATCGCAGTCGCAATCGCCATGGGATTATGAAACGAACATGACCATACCATGACCGGTCGACTTTGAATCAAAATCCGGATCAATTTAAATCATACTAGATACTTTCTACTGGATGTAAGACCACTATGAAACGATTCATGGAAAACAATTAGAAGAAACGAAACAGAGTACCCTAAAGTGCTCCAACTAATTGGCCAATACAAACATAAGACAGCTAAATCTCTAATACAATGCACTGAAGCTAGACTCATCTATCTCCATGCTGATCAAGAAACCCATATATCGATTGAGATTTCCGGGAATTCAATAAGTTATGTACAGTGGAATTGCTAAAGAGAGAGAATATTAGAAGAAAGAAAATTGCTAAGTATGATAATATACTTAACTGAAAGCTTCCTTATCGAGGAAGTCATATCCAACAGGACAAGTGAGGTTCGAGTTATCAACTTTCTCAAGGGCTTGTTTCGTCGTTAACGGTGGTAAGATATCCGCCATCGCCGCCGTTATCTTCTTGGGGGGGGGGGGGGAAGCGAAGATCTAAAGGTTTGGGACGACCCTCTTATAGTAGTGCCAATGCTGGGTTTCTCCGGTTTGGTCTTAATTAGGTGTGGGAATTCCGGGTATTTGAGTCGGTTTGTCATTCGGTTAAGAGTTCTAGTATCCATTCATGTGTTTTAGAATTTGGATTCGGTTCTTTTTTAGTTAAGATCGGTTCGGATATTTAAGTGAAGAACCGAATTTTATAGGGTTTAGTTTGGATTGGGTATTTTTGCCGAAACTATCCGAAATACCCATTAAAAACTATAAAACTGTTTCATTTTAATGAAATTTGGTTTAGTTTTGCAAATATTTCCAAAAAAAACCCAAAGTAATTTTTATTTGGACGTTTAATACCCAATTGTTTTGGATTGGAATAAAAATACCTCAATTAATAAAGTTTAGTCTAAAAATTCCTTATATTCGACTTGTTGCTGGATTCAAACCCGTGATTTAACGTCCGTTAACGGCCGTTACGGAATCAATAACCGGCGTTAAATTTTTCAACCCCTGTGTTTATAAATATATAGATGCATGCGTACTGTGTAAACTAATATATTATCCTAGTCTGGTGGTAAGAGCTGTGTTTTGTCATCCATAGAACTCGGGTTCGAATCCTCCCCAATACCAACCACTGATTTTTTGTTTTCGTTCCCTTCCACCATTTCTCTCCTTCTCCTTCCTCCTCATTTAATCCAAAGCTCCGTCGCCGTCGCCATCTCTCCTTAGTTAAACCCACCATAAACTTTCTCCAATTTGCTTTCTCTAATGGCCATTTGTACATGAAAGTTTCAATATTTTTCTCTAAAATTAGGGTACATAACAAAGGATTGATGATGAAGAAACAACGATGTAATTACAGAACCCATAGATCTGGAATTCACAAAGTAAAAAAAATAACCATAGATTTGCGTTACACAGTTCAGAGGAAGAAGAAGGAGAGAAGACGGAAGAAAAAAAAAAAAAAAAAAAGAGCGAAAGAGGGGAGGAGGGGGAACCCGGACAGCAAGGGTGACAAAATCAACCTGTCACCACCAGACTAGGGGAATATACATGTACTAACTTCTAAAGAGATTGTATATGTCTTCTTAAACACACGGAATTGAAAATTTTAACGCCGGTTATTGATTCCGTAACGGCCGTTAACGGACGTTAAATCACGTGTTTGAATCCACCAACAAGTCGAATATAAGGAATTTTTAGACTAAACTTTATTAATTGAGGTATTTTTATTCCAATCCAAAACAATTGGGTATTAAACGTCCAAATAAAAATTACTTTGGGTTTTTTTTGGGAATTTTCCCAAATAAAATTGTTTAATTTCAAAAAATTAAAACTAACAATATTTGAATATTTAGATTTTTTGAGTATAAACATAACTAATATCTTTTGTTATAATTATTATTTTAGATACCAGAACTTAAGACCCTAGCGATATCACGGGAGAAAATATTTCAAAAATCATTCAAAAGATATCAAACGAAAATTTATAATGAATTGTAAAAGTTTTCAATTTTTTCAAAAAATAATAAATTAATATATACTTTACAAAAACTATGATAAAGAAAGGGAATTTGGTCAATTCTACCACATTGGACCAAAGCCTTTCCATTTCAACCACATTTGATAATCATTTTTCACTCATACCACATGTATTGTAGTATAAAAATGATGGTTTTGCCCTCAGATGATGTGGTAGATAAAATGCAACATTTAGGGACAAATATTTGGGGGACAATAAACTTATTCGGGGACAATAATCAAACGAAATATAAACATCAAAAAAATGAAAAGACCGCAATTAAAATTTAGAAGAACTAAAATCGAAGAACAATGAATTAAAATCGAGGGACAAAAACTAGCTAACATGCAAAAATAAGATGAAATTGTGGAAGACTCAAACTTCGGAGACAACTGTATGTAAACTTCCTTTTGTACGGTTAAACAATGAATTTTGTCCCCGAAATTTAAGCACACAAAAAGAAGGGCAAAATAGTCATTACATACGACAATTGTGGTTTGATAAATGGGCATGTAATGTGGTAGAAGAAAAAAGAATTGGGTCAAATGTGGGCCATGTGGCATAGATGTTAATTTTCTCATAAAGAAAACTCTCACTAGCATTTATTAAATATATTAGTATTAGAAAACATTAATTTGTAACTAAAAAACTATTCCCAAGTGTAAAAGACATAACTAAAAAACTATTTCCAAGTATAAAATGCATCAAATAAACTAAATATTATAACGGTTTGATAAATAAGCAAAAATGTTCATTGGTTCGTCAAATGAACCAAATGTTACTATGTTAAAACGGTAGCAACAATTCATTTAAATATATTTTAGTAATTAAATATTTTTTTAAAAATATGACAAACTTTAACCGAGAGACGCGACCGTAGATATCAACTATTCCAAAAGTTGCAATAGTTCGTCAAATATACCACATATTGCTTGGTTCATCAAATATACTAAAAATTACAATGGTTCGTAAAACAAAATTAAAAGTTGCTATGATTCGTCAATAAACCAAATGTTCCAACATTTCAATTAAAAGGTTATAATCTCATTTCAATACATTTTAGTAATTAAAATTAAGAATTAAAAATAATAATTTATGAAAAGTTACACTGATGGTAGATGATTAAATGTTATATAACGATTTATAAAATAAACTTAAAGTTGCAATTGTTCGTGAAATAAATTAAATGTTGCAATGGTTCAACTAACCGGTTGCAACTGTTTTACGAAGAGTTACGATAAAAATATGCAACCGTAGAAAACATTTACTCGGATTGCAATTTTCTCAAAATCATAATGTAAAATATATTTTTTAGTTTAAAAAAAACGAAATGTTGCTATATACCAAAAGTTGCAACGGTTCGTTAAGTTTATCAAATAAACTAAAGATTACAATGGTTCGTAAAACAAAACAAAAGTTACAATAAAAAGATGCAATCGGATAAAACATTCAGATTGCAATTTTCTAAAAAAATAGAACCCTAAAATATATATTTTAGTTTTTAAACAAATTAGCGAAAAATTACGATTAAAAGACACAACCGTTGACAATGAGTTTTTGCAAAAATGCCCATTTTTCAATGCCTCTTTTCAAAAATGCCCCTTCTTTAAAACCTTATAAAAAATGCTCATAAAATATAAGATTTACCCAAATATGTATGTAACATTATTAAAACATACACAAATAAGTATCTAAAATCTTATTTGTGTATGTAACATTATTAAAACATACACAAATAAGTATATAAAACCTTTGAAAAACCTTTAAAACTCTTTAAAATATCTTGTAAAACCTTTGAAAAACCTTTAAAAACCTTTAAAATATCTTGTAAAACCTTTAAAAACACCTAATAAAATCTTATAAATACTTGGATCGAGTCTTCAAGTAATAGTTACCATCCATAAGTACCTTATAAACCTAATAAAATTTTCTAAATTTTTCATATTTAAAAAGGGCATTTTTGAAAATGGACAACTAAAAAGAACATTTTTGAAAAGGGGCACACCAAAAGGGGCATTTTTAACAACCACAAAATGAGATTGCATTTAATTCAGTTAGATCAAAAATCAAAATATTATAAATGAATCGCTTCTAAAACGTAGATTATTTTTAATTAATTAAGAAAGTTAGATATTATTTGGAATTAATTTAGGAAATTTTTTTTTTCAATTTCGAATTATTTGGTTATTGAAATAGAGATTTGTTTGAGGTAACTACGGAATTTACCAATTATTCGCATAATCGAATATGTTATGAACATATATTTAGTATACCAAATTCAACCCGTGCATGAAGTCTATATTTTTATTTTAGAATCCTAATGAAAATATTGCGTGCACAATCTATTATTCGTTATTTCCAAAATTGCTTGCACAATCAAATTTTCAAATATTTTGTAGTGTCAACCTTATTTAATCTATCTGATCATATAATCTTAACATGCCGTCTATTATAAGGATCATAATTTTATATCATATAATATATTACATTTAACCCTCCGCCTACTATAACTATTTTAATATATTTTTTTAGAAAATTAAATTAAGGGAGACTCACAAAAATGCCCTTTTTCAATACCCCTTTTCAAAAATGCCCCATTTGGCTGTCTATTTTTAAAAATACCCCTTTTTATGTACAAAATAACTAAATTACCCTTCTTTTAATAAAAGATATCACAAATATATAAGGAAAACATGAGAATGTACACATATCAAAATTACAAATTTGATTTTGTAAAAACTTGTAAAACCTTTAAAATACCTTGTCAATTTTTCCAGCCAAAAAATTTTCCCGCCAAAAAATTTTTTTTGCGGGAAAAGTGATTCCGCAAATTTTTGGCGGGAAAAATTTACAAGGTATTTTAAAGGTTTTTTACAGGGTATTTATTAGGTTTTACAATGTATTTTAAAAGGTTTTACAACGTATTTATAAGATATTTATAAGATATTATAAGATTTTACAAGCTATTTTATAAGTTTTTACAAGTTATAAGGTTTTACAAGTTTTTTATAAGGTTTTACAAGTTATAAATACATTATAAAACCTTATAAGTACCTTGTAAAACCTTTTAAAATACATTGTAAAACCTTACAAAACACTTGTAAATACTCTGTAAAACCTTTAAAATAACTTGTAAATATTTCCCGCCAAAAAAATTTCGCCAAAAAAATTGCGGAATCACTTTTCCCCGCAAAAAAAAATTTTGGCGGGAAAAATTTTTACAAGGTATTTTAAAGGTTTTTACAAGTGTTTTAGCGGAAAAATTACGTGATCACTTTTGTATTTTGTGGACCTAATTTTGTTTCAAATAAAGGTAAAATGGTCATTAAAAATTAAAAGAGGGCAAACTTAAAAATGGACTCTCAAAGGAGACATTTTTGAAAAGGGGTATTGAAAAAGGGGCATTTTTAACAATTTCTCTATATTTTTATCTCTAATGACATTCTAATGTATTAACTTACAAAGGGAAAGGTTATTAAATGGTAATTATAAATTGTACTCCCCAAATAATAGTATAGGATTATTGATAATCAATACAATAAAACTACTAAGAGTCTCTCCAACAGTGACACATCAGTTTTTTTTTAATTATTGTAGGACTGACACATCATTAAAAATGATACCCAATCAAAATATAACGGGTAATACAAATTCAGCTGTCCAACATATCACGTCTGTTTTTCAGCTTGCCACATCAACTATTTATTATCAAAAAAAAAACACACCAACTAAAAAAAGACAACCAATCAAATTAAAAAAAAAATAACCCCACACTTATTTATTTTATTTTTA